CGGAAAGAGTACAGCAGGAGAGAATGGCGGAGAAATTTTCAGACGGGCCTCATCCGAAAACACAAGAGACGCTAATCGAGAGAGCACCGGAAAGGCCGCAGGAGAGAGCTCGGGGAGGGCGTGATTTTGCGGAGAGAGCTATTGAAAGACCACCTGATAGGCACATACAGGAGAGAAACCCTGATCGGCCCATTGCTGAAAGAATACCTGCGCAGAGGTCCGAACGTATTCCGCCACTGCAGGAGCGGACACACGAGATGCCGCTTGAGAGGCCCCAGGAGAGGCTACCGGAGAGAGCACAAGAAAGGCGTGAGTCGTATGTAGAGAGGCCAATCGGGGGGTCCCACGATAGGAATTTACAGGAAAGGATGCCCGAACAGCACATGCCGATGCAAGAGCGGATAGTTGAAAGGGTACCGGTTGAAAGGATTGAAAGGATGCCTGAACAGCGCATGTCGACGCAGGAGCGGATGGTTGATAGGATGACGGAGAGGCCCCAGGAGAGGTTGCCGGAGAGAGCACAAGAAAGGCGTGAAATGTATGTAGGGGGGCCGATCGGGGGGTCCCACGATAGAAATTTACAGGAAAGGATGCCCGAACAGCACATGCCGATGCAGGAGCGGATAGTTGATAGGATGACGGAGAGACCCCAGGAAAGAGTTCAAGAAAGGGCGCCGCCACCACCTGCGGGTAGATATCAAGAACGATCACACCAAACTCCTCCGGTCACTCCTCAGCACCCCACAGCACCGCACTCTCACGGACATGTGAGGTCTTTATCGCAGCAGAACCCGGTCATTCAGCAGAAAATCCAGGGACAAGCCCAGCAGCAGCAGATACAGTCTCAACATCAGCAGCAGCATGGATATTTTCCGAGTTCGCATCATCATCAGCGAACGCATTCCCAGCCGTCCTCTTTGTCGTCGCAGCCGCCCTTTATCACCGCGCCCCAGCCCCATCCCCACCAGAGATCTATTCATTCACCCATCACTGGGCCAACAGTTGATCATAGGCATCAAAATCCCTCGGCTATGGAGCAGAGACATCAGAATGCTGCTGTTTTAGAGCAAAGACAACACAACCCTCCTGTTGTGGAACAGAGGCATCAAAACCCACCGACTATGGAGCACAGACATCAGAATGCCCCCATGGATCACAGGCGCCAGAATCCTTCTGCTATGGAACAAAGACATCATAATCATACCATCATGGAGCAAAGACGACGTGAACCTCCTGGTGTGGAACAGAGGCATCAAAACCCTCCTGTGATGGAACAAAGGCAAGCACACACTCCACATCCACAGCTACAGGCTTCTGTCCCTCGCCCAACGTCAGCACCCTCGACAATCCACCAACTTTCCGCCGGATATCAACCACCTTTGTCTGGGCCCCCTCAGCACCAACCTTCACGTCCTCAAACGCATCAACCGCCGACAAATCCTACTCCTCCGCCTCCAGGTCCATCATCAAAACGGCTGACAAGTATCGACTCGTTGCTTAACCCGAAAGAGGAGCCGCCGCAGTCACGGTCACAGAGTGGGTCAACATACTTTGCCCAGCAACCTAGGTCGCAAACAAGGCCGCAAACTCCCCAGCAGCAGCAAGATCATCATCAACAGCAGCAGCAACAACACTCGCAGCTTCAGCACCCGCAGCCCCAACATGCGCCACAATATCTGCCTCAACAGCATCAACACTCTCAGCCTCAGAATTCTCAGCCGCAACATCCACAGCCGCAGCCGCAACCGCAGCCTTTGCATACACAGCATAGAGAGCAGCCAAGGCAAGAGATGAGGTATGAGCAGCTCCGTGATAGTCGCCAGCCGCCGGCGGCACAGCTGCTGCCAATGATGCCGGGAGGAGGAGGAAATCACAGTATCGGGATACCGAGTCAGCCCAGACCGCAGAATCACTCAATCCCTCGAGTATCACCGTACTCAACACCTCCGATTCGTGAAAGTCCTTACAATCCTCCTCCGCCGCCACCACCACCTCCGCCCAGAGATAGAGAGCTCAGCCAATACGCGTCTGTGCGTGAGTCTAGCTCTTTACGCGAGTCTAGTTCATACCCTTCTATTCCTTCGAACGAGCCGGCACCCCAGCAAGTATACTCTCAAGCAGGACATAGACAATCGTTGTCACACCAACAGCAACCACAAACACCTATGTATCGTGGTCACTATGTAAGCCAACCGCCACAGAGGCCAGCTACGTTCTCCCCTTCGTCATACTCACGGGGCGGAGGTGGTCCATACGCTCCGCCGCCGATCACCACTTCGTCGCATCATCAACATCATCCTCATGGGCAACAGCAACAGCAGCAGCAGCAGCAGCAGCAACAGCAGCAGCAGCAGCACCACCACCACCAGCAACAACAGCAACAACAGCAACAGCAACAGCAACAGCAGCCGCAGCCGCAGCATCCGCATCCGCATCCGCATCCGCATCCACATCCACATCCGCATCCGCATCCGCATCCACATCCGCATCACTCACATCAGCCTCCTCCCCAACAGCACCCCCAGCAGCATCAAGGGTCGTTGGGACATCAACATCAGTTGCAGCAACAGCAACAGCAGCCACCACCGCATTATTCGAACACGCCACCGCAACCGCAACCACGGGATTCTTATCAAGGTCCGCGGGAAATTGGATTTTATAGGTGATAGTGTTTAATGTTTCACGTTTTCTTAAGTCAAGAGACTAGGGGTAATCCGTTGGGTAATGGGCGAGTTTATTCATACTGTTGCTGCAGAGCGTTTGTTTTTATATCTATTTTTACTTTGTATTAAGCGGGGCATAAAGGAAATTTTACGAGTCGATGGCAGGTTTTTAGTATTTGCAGAGATTACAAATCTTCGAGGTGTTGGTCTTTCTTTCGTAGTCACGTCACTTTTCACTTTTACAATATCATCATTTTAGCATAGCATTTGTTCTTTTACTTTCTCTTTTCTTTTTCTTTTGGTTTGAGAGCTCACTTTCTTGGGAATGGGAATAGCTTTTCTTTTCTTTTTTTTTATTCAAGGGAGGAATGTAGGATTGTCTGGTTCCGATTTACAAGGGGAGTTTTTTCTGGCAGGTTGTTCTGTAGATATAGGCTGGAGTAATTCAGAGGTGGTACTACATATAATTGTTTGAGGACCTGTAAAAAATGTAGCTGAAATACAGCCTCACCAGTGTAGTATATACAGTCTACCTCCGCATACCGAATGCCAATAAAGCCACAAATCTGCTATTACGAACGAATTTTGGTGATCCGAATTTCAATTTCACATAAAAAATGATAGAATTTTATCTGCTGTACCGAATAATCTGCTGTATCGAACGAGAAATTTTGGGATGTGCAGGTTGGTTATAGCGGAGGGAGACTGAGGTATTCTTTACTTGCACTTTAGGATTAGTGTTCCTCCAATCAGGGCAAGACTAAATAAACTTATCCCTCTCGCTCTCGACCAATCAAAGCTAGCTTCAGGAGTTCAGAAAATTAGTAACTTGTGATAGATGTAGTTTTTTGGGCACTTATTGGACGCTTTCCCGTAAGATAGCGGGCGTTCTATCGCCGGATAGATCAAATTTGGTGTTTAAACGAATAGAAAAGGGTGTCTATGTGTTTCTATTTGATTCATGAACTCTACCCATTTTCTATCCTTGCTAGCGTGGGAAATAGTCCCGATTTGTATTAGGCACCCACTGGATTTTTAGGAATCTATATCAATCACCGTATGCTTACGGGAACCTGGCCTATTCGAAAACCATCCTCTATTGCAATAAAACACTCCCATAGCTTACGGGAAGGCGTCCATTATGGGCCAACCGACACCCTTTATTTATGCTTCTTTATAAGGAAGTAGTCCCGAGTACATACATGTATTTGCAACTTATAATCCCCTAACTCTAGTCTCGAGCCAGAGCTCATGAGGTTACTTTGCAGTTGGTCAGATCATATTTTAATTATGTGTGTAGGTGTTTAAACTAGTCAGTGAACCTTATGTAATCCTCCAGGGTTTTGCTAATTCAGCGCAGTGCAGCTCTAGTGTCTCATGGTCAGCTTACGGACGTTAAACCCACATGACCTATGTAGCTGCTCTTTTTCTGGAATTTCAATTGAGTACTTTCGTTTCTAGTTACTATTAGCCAGTTGGTTATGCAGCTGCAGCAATGCATGATCTGATGCACCGATGGTAACCTCACGAGCTCTCACAATGTAGCCTCTTATCAAACATGCAGCGCCTCGGAAGCTTTCTAGTTTGTTAACTTGGTGTTTGGTTGGTTGTAGATCTGCTCGTAGTTTTAAGAGCTGGGCTCCCTCACAGGTGGGGATCTAGATTTGGAGCACCCCTCACTGTCTCTGCATGTACCTACATTCATACAAGTGGAATTATGCAAAGCTAAGCTGTGCCGTCGATTTACTGATATAACAGCTTTCTTCGGAACCCATAGGGTTAGGTGGCGTACGTATTCCTTGGGTCACGAACTTCAAAAATACACTTTTTGGGAAGTCAATCAACTACATGTACATAGCTCAACTTAAAGTTTATAATGCGCCCGCTTCATAATTTTGTATTATGATTAGTTGGATATCAGAAATATTTCTTGATAGAGTACGTGTAGATTGTGTCTAAGAACGAGTGCTTAGAAATACGTGTTGTTTTCGATCTGCATTGCTTTTAAGACTACGTATACTGCAATAGACTCAAACGGTCACAAATGTCTCCCTTATCTGAACTAAATTCTTTTTGCCTGATACAGATCTACTTTATGACTCGAGAATACAATTACCCTGGTCCTACGGACTCCTACTCCACATGCCCGGCGCACCGGCAGCATATTGATGGAGGATCTAGACCTTTCCGTCCATAGAGATGGTCAGCGCCGGCCTATCAGTAATTCTTAAATCAGAGATGGCACGCCCCACTCGCTCTATATAATGAGCTCTTGGGGAGCACCCCACGTTTTTAAAGTAGACTCATCGCACTCTCAAAATACTCTTTCGAGCAAAGATGGTTCAATATTTTAAAGGCCCTATCTGGGCACAGGCATTGCTGTTTAATATTATACCCGCCGCATATGGTAGCGGCTTTGTAGGACACAGCTCATATTGTGTGAGAAACTCTAAAGAAACCCCTGAAGTTTGGCACTAACCATAATAATAATCCAGTGCAATATTCTCGAGGATGCCCTCGGAGATGCCATATACTCCCGTTCTTCAAACGAATACACTGTTCAGAACACATTTTGGGGTATGAATCACAATGGCTATAGGTATCTCTGGTTTAATTCTGACTGAATATATTTCGCAGCTGTCCAAGCCAACCTATCACCAACATGTGTTTTGGCACCGAAATCAACAGATGACCTAGCTACTGCCATGAAGATTCTTGTACAAGACTCCTGTATCTTCGCAGTTCGCGGAGGTGGCCATTCAAGTATTCCTGGTTGGGCCAGTACTAACGACGGTGTACTTATCTCTTTGGGTAATTTCAGAGATGCCGTTGTAAAAGATGGCTATGCAAGGGTTGGTGCAGGAAACCGCTGGGGAGAAGTATATAGGCGGCTGGAAGATCATGATTTGACGGTTGCCGGAGGTAGACTGTCTGGCGTTGGGGTTTCGGGGTTGACATTGGGAGGTAAGCCGAGGTTCTTTAATATCCACGAGGTTTCAGTTGTTAATGAATGAAAATAGGAGGGCTGACGTGGCTAACCTCTGAGCACGGATTTGCCTGCGATAATGTCAAGAACTTCGAAGTATGTTTGGACCTGAACCCTTAATCATTGGTACTAACAACATTCGTCAGATCGTAACCGCAGCTGGCGATATCCTCCATGCAAATGCCGAATCCCATCCAGAACTATTCAAGGGCCTGAAAGGTGCTGGGCCAAGCAACTTCGGAATTATTACGAACTTCGACTTATATACCTATCCTCATAACTCAAAGGTTTATGGCGGGATGTACATCTACAATGAAGATAAAGCGCCCCAAATCCTTTCAGAAGCCTTTAATTATGCCACCACAGGAGCCTCTGCGGACGTCAAGTCACACCTGATCTCAACTTTTGCATGGACAAAAGACGCAGGCACTGTCTCGCCGGCAGTCATTGCATACTACAATGGCCATGTAGACAATGATAACCCCCCTGAGGCTCTGAGGCGATTTTCGGATATCCCGATGGTTTTGAATACTGGGAGTATGCAGAATACTTCGCAGGTTGCTGATGCGGTGGGATACCCCGAGGGAGGAGCTAGGCAGTTTCTCTCGTCGATAACTGTCGTTGCCAAGGAAGAGGAGCTGATGGCAGAACTTCATACAATCTGGAGAGAATCTTTGGAGCTCCTGAAACCCTACTTAGTCTCTGCCGTTTCTGGATTCGTGCCTATCCCGGATACCGCTATTGCAGCTGGATTTACGAAAGGGGGGAACTCTATGGGGTTTAAACCAGATGATAAGAATCTAATGCGTAAGATTTCATTCCAGTTCCAGTCTTCATTCCAGTCAAGCCAACTGTGAATTTTGGGCATATATTGACAAGTTCTTGGCCGGCTCAGATGTTTTTTGGTTCAACGCCTGGACCGATGCCAAATTTGACAGTAGAGTTGCGAGTATCTGCAATGATATGATTACCAAGTCAAGCCGCGCAGCCAAGCGCAGAGACTCCCTTCACCCATTCCAGTAAGTTAGACGGAATTGTGATAAACAAGAAGAATCAGAGCTGACGTGATTGGCTTGTAGATACTTGAACTACGCTTCGAAAGATCAAGACCCCATCGCTTCGTATGGTAAGGAGAGTGTTAAGGATCTAACGAAGTTGCAGAAGGAGTATGATCCAATGGGAGTTTTCACAAAATTAGTGAAGGGGGGATTTAAGATTCCGGAGCAGACGGAGAGATTTGAGTTATGAGTTATGAAATAGGGAATTTTTTTTTTTTGGATATAGTTGCGGAATTATTTAGACCTCTTGGTATTCATAGGCCATCGATGTCATTGGTCTGTGGTAGTGCAGTAAAAAAAAACCGACTTGTATTTGGGTGCGCTTCGTGCTGTATCTACCTTCCCAGCCTGGAGAATTTCCTCCCTGACCGGATAGGAAGCATCCAATATGGAGATGTGTGAAATTATCATCAGCTTTTAAGGGGCAGCTGAAGACTGACATAAGCTTCGGCCGGTACGTCAATGGAGCCGATGCCAGGCATACGCATTGGGAAGTATAAACAGTTGAGAAAGAGAAAAGATATGTAGGTGAGAGTTGTCGCACTTGGAACTAAAAAGAGTTCCTAGGCCGGATGGTCATGTGTGGTCGAGGGGAGAGTTATATTAAGCGTTGAGAGTTGAAGAGGGCTAGTGTATCTATCAGTTCGGCTGTGGGCGATAGACGAGTGATTTTCTGTGATTATGATCATGCTTCTAGTCAATCGCAGGGGTATTCTACACCTTTACTTGTACGTGTTGCAAGTGCAATTAAAATAATAAGGGTACTCAAAAGGGCTCTATTAGTAATATATAACGGCTTTGAGTACCGTAAGTATCTCTCGTTAATGCTCTTAAAGCTCGGTTTCAAATAGGATCAGTAAAGGTTCATAATGAAAAGGCTAGGCACGAGCTGTCTTGTATCGATCCAGCACTCATCTTCCACGCTGTCAAAGAGAAAGCGCTCATTATGAATTATATACATGAACTGAAAATATTCAAACAAAATAAAGTCAAAAGTCAAAAGTAGCACCCAAATAGGTTAAAGAATCCCAAGCGCCCAGTTAATTCACAAGTTTTGGTTGTAACCTCAAAGGCGTGCCAGCCCGGTCTTCTCATATGTTCCCAAGTGCAAAACGGGGACTGGCATCTTCAACGCATCACCAGAGTATCCAAGGTCCTCAGCAACAAGGATAGCTGCCTTCTCACCGATGGTGAGTGCGGTAGAGTATGTATTGCAGCCAACGTTATCAGGGCAGATGGAAAGATCGGCGCACTTGAGTCCCTTGGTCCCCCAGACATTCAAGCGGGGGTCGACGACACCGTGCTTGACAATTGAGTTTCCTTCGCGAGGTGCCATCTGGTTTCATGTTAGTCAAGCCCAATTGTGGGGTGTCAAGGGAGATAATATACGTACAGAGCATGTACCCAGACTGTGCCAGGTAGTCTCTACATGATGTCTAACCCAGTCTGCAATTGCCTTTTATGGTGTTAGTAAGGTCATCCCCCAGAGTTGCAAGAGATTTCCATACCTCATCATCCTCCTTACTGTATACAATATCCTCACGAACACTTGTCTGATTGGAGGTGACAAAGTTTGCTTGAGCTGGCTTGCCCCTGTATAAGCTGTCAGTAAAGTGGCACAACCAGGTCATGAGGAAGCGAAGATATCCATACTTCTCCAACGGCCTAGCCCAACTTCCGTGCTGAATACCTGCCGAAAGATGGTTCGGCCCGGCATACGCCTTAGTTGTCTCGAGATCCATCTCAAAACACCTCGCTGGTGAATCGTAGGCAAAATGTGGGTGCATAGACATGACCTCACCCGCAAAGCAGTCCATTCTTCGTGCGGTCTCTCGGGACTTCTTATACGCCCAGACCATGGGTGCCATATCACGCGCGTCATTCATGAACCCAGCATCGAAGTCTGGCGCTTCATAGGGGTTGGGGGAGACGATATGGGTTGATCCGCGGCTGAATGGATACTCAAGGAAGTGGAACATGCTGAAGAACTTCCCGGGAGGGAGGAGCATGTGGTCTCCGAAGAATCTATATTCCAGCGATGTTAGATCAATTTCATTAATGTCGATGGCCTAGAATAATTTCGTACCCAGAAATCAAAGAATAGTGCATGACTGGCTTGTCAGGTTTGTTCTTGAAGTATGAGTCCCAGCCCTGTCTGAACTCTGGACCCATCTCCTGAAGCTCCTTTTCCGTGGGTCGGATCTTTACTCCCGCATCAATTCCGTTTGTTGCAAGCGGACCGGTACCGTTCAGGTTCCACTGGTCGAAAATTTCCTTCTGGACCTTGGGGTCACCACGGAGGAAGTCATCGAAGGTTTCTGTATCGGGTTTGGCACGGTATACGGAAAAAGTGAGGTAATGGTCCTGAATTTTATATATTAGTATTGAGTGAGATGGGTTTTGGGTTCATATCATACCTGGAAGTTCATTCCAACTCCTGGAAGATTGATGAATGGCTTAACACCAACTCTCTTCAACTTCTCCGGGTTACCTATACCACAGAATTAGCCTTGGCTCCTTTATAAGTAACAGGACATAGTACATACCAATGCCACTGCGCTGCAAAACCAATGGGGTGCTCATAGTTCCACAACTGATAACAATCTGCTTCCTTGCCCTAAAGATTCTCTTTTCACCCACCTGACTTGGCGAAAGTGGTTTTGTCGGGAGTGTTTGAACACCGACTGCCCTATTTCCCTCAAAGATGACCTTGTCGATCTTTGTGTTGCATTGGAGAAAGAGGTTTCCCTGGTTTCGCATGGTGCTGTGGATATAAGCGTGGGCCGAGTCACTGCGGCGGCCGGTATCACGATTGATCCATTTCAACCAGTGCTCTGCCCCGTGGGCGGTATCAAGGTCTTGGAGGTCGTCGGTGATTGGAATACCCTGCGATTCAGCAGCCCGGAGGAAATCTTGGGTCATTGGGTACGTGTAGTTGCCGAATGAAACCTTGATTGGACCGTCAAAACCGTGAACATCACGGTTATTGCTGGATCGTTGATAGGTTTCAAACTAGTGCATATAGTATTAGAAATGGTTCTAATTTATGAGTATATAATATCCTACCTTCTTCATCACCGGTAACAAATCCTTTGTGGTCCATCCCTCCGCCTGGAAATCGTCATAATCACTAGCAGAAGCTCTCGTATACATCTAGCAACAAAGTAATTACTATTAGTACGACAATCTTTCAAAAGGATATATGACACAGGTTAACAAACCATGAAATTGATTGAAGATCCCCCTCCCAAGACATGGGCACAGGGAACAATTGCCTTGCGGCCATTGAGATGCTCACTTGCTCTCGAGTGGTAGAACGAGGCTGTTCTCGAGTCGAGTTTCATGTTACGGGGGTAGATACCAGGGCGGTAGACCCATGGGTTGTTGAGATTATTCTCACCACCTTCAATGAGAAGGACAGTGAGCTTTGGGTCGAGGTTGGCAAGCCTTCCGGCAATAACGCAACCGGTAGAGCCACCTATGATAGATCTCGAGTTAGAGGTGCTATGATAGACATTACCATGAAAATGGTGAGAATTGTACTACCTCCGGCAACTATGATATCGACTTCGTCTGGGATCGTCATTTTGGATTGTTCAATTTATAATTGTAATGAGTATGAGTCTGTCTGCCCAAGTCAGAGCTGCTTGATGATTATGAATATCGTGGGAATTCGGGCTTCTTAAATAAGGCTCTCTCTTCCCCCTACTCACCGCATAAGCCACGTCGAACAAGAAAGGATCAGCCCCGCAACATCTTAGAGCCGAAGCCGAAGAATAATACGAGAAGATGTGCATGGTCTTCCCCGAGCAAAAGAGCTAACCAAGTACTAGTGTCTCAGCTGAGTCCCATGATTTAATTTCAATCGACCTTCTTTCCGGATAACTGTATCCTAGGAATTATCTGAGGTATGATCATGCAATGAATTTTACCGATTGATCTGCCTTGTAAACCCACAAGCTGTATTGAAACTACATGTAGTTGTGGGCTTGATATTTTCGTATACTGTAGAATGTTGAGTTGAAATTCATGATAGTCGAGTACAACATCGATTGTTTGCATACGTAGCTTGCAAGTGGCGAACGAGCGGTTAGACATGGTACTAGTTCTTCTCTCCACAGTACTCAATTGATACGCGCGGAGGGTCGGCATACCTTGATTTAGTATGGTTTCCGCAACTTTACAAGTGTAGTTTCTGTTTAATTCAGTACTAGATCAAGGCATTCACCGTTGAAGCGAGAATGTGGGGTGCATAAACACCAGACAAGGGTTGTTGGACGGTAGATAGCGTACCCGCAGGACCCTGGCCCTTGTAACCCCACACTCTTCTAGGAGAGCCTAGGCTTTTTGCATGGCGTTTCATCACTATTCCGAAGACTCCCCGTAGCATGTTTGTAGGTTAGTAGCTTAGAACACTAGCTACCCCGCATCCGACCTGGATTACTGTGCATCAATATATATGTGCCTCTCATTATTGACCAATTAGGTACGCTCTGACTCGTAGAGGAACCCTAGATGTACCTGTAGTCTACCGCTGCAACGTCGCACCGTTGCAGTCCCCCGGTGGTAAGTACCCCGAGCCATCTTTTGATCGTCCATCTTATATCGCATCCACTACGCCTCTATACAACTGCACCCCCAAACCCTCGTCATTACACAGCATGATAATAAGGCTTGAGACGAAGAAGAAGGAACCCTCCTAGGCAAATATAATATCCACATACCATTCAACCGGACTCTGGGGTCTGTATAACCACAAGCACGCAGCAATTGAACTAGCCTAAGTTAATCTTTTCCACCCACTTAGAGCCGCAGGAAGAAATCCCCATTGAAAGATCACCTTGGTATCAACCACAATGATAGGCTCTGCAGGTCTATCCCCAAGCGACAAAGAGCCGGCTGCAGCCAATTACTTGCTTGGCTTGCGGTGGATAGACCGGCACCGGTGTCGGGAGTGAACTTAATTTATATTACTGATACTGAGTTCAGCGGATATGCGTTTAACGCAATGACTTCACTGGGTTACTTACATGGAAAGAGGCGCTGGTTCTAGACGAACGCATCAGACCACATTCTTACATGCATCCATAAGTGCTAGGGTAGGTAGATCTATGAATATCTGGAACGCACGCCCCCAAATGAATCGATCCTACAACATTGGGGCAGCCCCGGAGATCAGACGTCTCTAGGAAAATTACGCGCGTATGCTCAACGGAGGCTTGAAAATCCGGGGAAGTGTCGGGAGGAAGCTATCCGGAAAAAGATAGGTGTCTGTGCAGTCAAAACCATGATACTGCTCCAAGAGTGGGGTGTAGGATGTGGTCTGGCTCAGCTATCATTCTGAGATTTTGGTCCAACCAGGTTTAATTTTGTTGTGATACCAGTAATGGCCAACATATAGCTCATTATATGGTAGGATAAAGCCAGGTAGGATTCAATCGACGTGGCTTGGATTGAGGTTTGGAATCATCCTCTATAGTTACATAATTATATAACTCTCGGTCATTTTTTTGGCCTCTAATAAGATACTTCATCGTAGATACCTTGAAGTCACGGATTACGAGTTACATGTAGCTCTATCAGAGTAAATCCCCTCAAAGCCCGAAAAATTGATCCAGACCGCGAAGGTAGCCGTTGATATCGATATCCTCTTCCAGTTCCATTTTGAGCACACATTGTACCTTCTTGGCATTATTCGAAAATGGTCCAAGACGACGTAAGTACTGTGGGTTTGTGGGTATCTAAATAAATCGAATATAGACACTATCGATCTGAGTAAAGAATAAGTTATGTTCCTATTGGTCGAATCTTATCCCCCAAGATTGCTATCTTCACATATGCGTGTCCACGATAGGTGAGTTGCTGGACGTGATATGTGTTATCTTAACCATATTTTCTTTTTTGGCCTAAGCTCTTAGCCTGTACTGCCGAAGGAGTATATATCGATATATCGTTGTGTTTATATGAGATTTAAGTGCACATAGCCGATTTTGACTTACACTCTGTACGAGAATTGTGTGAATTACATGTAGTAGAAACTTTCACCAAGTGTGTAATAGCTTTATGAAAAAAGAGCTTGTCACGTTAAACTGGCCGCTACCCCCAATCTCACTAGAAAAGAACCTATTTTGTGGAGCATATGTAGACTCCTTACGAAGAGCTGCGTTGGTTACTACGGTCAGTACGTATGCAAGTTCAAGGGATGAACCACCTAGAGTGCAAGTAGCCAGGTTGCCCCTGCGACAATATGTCACGATACATCAACAGTGCATAAACTAGAAAGAAGAGTAGATGCAATGCAGTGTTTATAAGCTAGTGAGCGACAGTTATTACCGCTATGATAAGGAGACGGGATATTCATTACCCCATGTACTGTAGTCTCGGGAGTCATCAATGCAGTTACCAGGAACCCCCTTACCCCCTAAAGCTCACCTCCTTATAGACCCTCGACTGAGTTACCGTCTCAAGGTAAAGGTCCCTAGGCATTCAGGCGGTAAGAAGTCCTTAGGATTATAAGACCTCGTACACGTCGTGTACGCAAGTATCAAACGCACGCTGTAAGTCGGGGGTGTTGGTACTTGCAATTGCTTCCATAACTCTGCGCGGAGTCGAATCGACCTATTAAGTAAGGTCTTTCAAAGGCGCTGCGGGCAGGGCTCTCGGTGAGTTGAAATTGAACTTGAAACCCTGGACAGTGGAGCCGATGTGACACGAACGGGGCGGGACGACCCCATTTATCGGAGAGAGTAGCGGAGTGAGTAACGTCGCGGAGAGCAGTACGCCAGGAATACGGGAGAGCAATGTCTCAACGCTCGAAGGGTGTTCCTAGTACTGCACACTTAATTATGTAAGCACCTACGCACTGCACCAACGTTTAATTGTGGTGGGCGGCCCAGAGACAATGATGATCATTACTTGTCACTCGGATTAGGCTTACTATGTAGCGACATGTAAGTTCTATCGCTAGTGTTGATGCGTCTAAACATTTTGAGGAACTGGTCTGCCAGTTATTTACTAATCGACACCTCCGATACATGGAGACAGTGGCCGTGGGTAAATAATCAACCATGGTATGCATCTGTATTTAATGATTTTGTGTTGATACTCTAAAGCCATGAATGAATTGAAGATAAGGGTAGTATACAGGGGTATTATTCCTTGTGTGTACTTTAGGAGTTGATCCTCATGCACCAGAGAGGGGTTAGTTAGATTCGACCGATTAATTGGGGAAAAGCCGGGTCGGTTCAGTTACTTCATTAGTATAAATGTATGTAATTGATACACAGCCTAATAAGGTACATGTACCTACATGTACCGATAGATCTTATCTATATTTTGGGGTGTTGATTTACGAGATGTGCGCTGCGACCTTGCTTTATGGTTTTGACCGAATATCACTCACCTCTATTAACGCCGGTGATATCTGTGCCAAAGATGGGCCTTATTCTTCCGTCATTCCAGGAATTGAGGAGAATATTATGTCGTTCTAAGAATGTTTACAATCTCTGCAATTCTCCTTATACATACATTTGCCCGCAACAATTATAACAAGCAATAACAGAAGATATATATTGGCAATTTCTCTCCTTCACAATACCATTAATTTTTAAATAACTTATAAAATCTAATAGACTATCACATCTAGCAGTATCAATTTCACTCAATTATTTACGACGGCGACCGGTCGACAACAGAACACACTAGATTCAAAGCGTACGTACGCGTTCTACCAAACCACTTCCGCCTAAAGTTCACCTAGTGGCAAGCAGCAAATCGATGATGAACCTGGAAAAATGCCTCTAAACAAATCAGATTGTCTTTAATCCTGCATTTCTAACTTCCAGCAAAATCGTTGCTCGAGTCGACGGGTCTTGAGAACTAATAAGACTGAATTCTCTCCACCCTTATGAGGGTCCTGGTGACTGGCCTTATGATTATCTCCAAGATTAAACTTAATTTTAGGACAATATATATCATGCAAGACCCAGCCCCGCTACCAAAACTTTGGGCACAGTTCATTTGTGAGGTAAAATACTCGATCAAGTTGGTATTGACAGCTATTAAAAGTTAGTGGTTCTCAATACTCGAAATCACGCAGCATATATGCGTAACTGCAGTTCAAAATTAATGATATCTGTGAATCGTCTCTGGTGAGAAGTTTATACTAGTTAGGGAAGATTTTCTCTTCGTGAAGACACTAAAAAAGATACCCACAACTTATATATATGTGAGAATTGATAGTTTTGCCCTATAGGCTTTCAGGGTGATTCTTTTCATAGTAAATATTATCCCGTTAAATAACATAATGGAGGACTTCCCGTAGGCGATAGAAGTGTTCTATCGCTATTTAGATCCTATTCGGGGTTTCTATCACAGCCAGTACTAGTTGTCTATCATTAGGACCCCCCCTCGAGGGGGTGAGTTCTATCTGTTTGACTCCTTCTATATGATCGATTTCTATTGCTCGTTGCAACTAATCCAATCACTGCACCTTCCACAACTGGACTAGTGATCGAATAGAACAGAAAGATCTTTGTTTATCTACGGGAAACCACTTTGTTTTTGATCGAATAGAAGAAAAAGAGGAATAGAACAGCTTCTATAGCCTACGGGAAGTCCTCCAATGGGTAAAAGCGTTATAAAGACTTCTGGTATGTTTTGCCGTACGCCAATCCGATAACCTGACCAAGATAGAACTATATAAGTCTTGATCTCTGAGGGTATCTTTTCGGCTATTGCGAAATTATACCCATTGCGCAGCTATTCTGTTGTAACAGATACCGGAAATCGGAATGTTGCCATGATCCAAATTTTCACGGCATGGGTTATACTGATTTACATGTGAACGGAAAAAAGATTGGCATGATATAAATCCAGAAATGATGAAGGCAGTTAATCTCGCTCGCGCCGTAGAGTCACGATACCGGAGGGCTCGTCTAGTTTTAGTTGGTTCGGGAGTCATGTTGCCGGCCAAGAGGTAGGCGTAGGGATGTATTGCAATATTTGAGTTATTTTCTCCGTTATCATTTTACGTTATAGGTGGAGAGTTGACTATGTGTTATCACATAACTAACTGCCAGCTGTCGAGTCCTGTCCCTATCTCCTTGACAGATTTTGAGTCAGAAGTCATTTAATCATGGAATGTCACTCGTACCAAGTGAAGCAGGTTAAGGTTAAGGCCCGGTTTAGATGCATAGTCACATTAATAACATCAGTGATTGAGCTGTTCAGTGCGTACAAACATCTGACTAATATTGACCATTGATCGTCATATCTCCGAAAATTTTAAGATAAATATCTGATCAATTAAACCTGCTACAGTTAGGCTTTAGCCACTTCTTCCAAGCCCGCGATCGGCAGAGCTACATCTATGCTAACTACATGTATCAATACTAATAACAAGAGTATCGTTGAACATAAGCTTACCATCCATGGTTATTTAATTCCATAAGTACTTATTGGGCTACTTACCACCTGGAATAAACGATTAGCGAGTGCGTAAAGAGCCAAGAATAAAGATTCTGCGAATGGATTTCGCTAAATTCCCATACTCCAAATGAGCTTAGTACATATGCCGCGCGCGATATATGCCTAGGGACGCCATTAATCCAGACACATGGACAAGTTTTGTGTGACTAGGCAGTTCGTATACACAATAGTAAGTGTATAGGCCGCGCCAGCTGGAGATGAGAACCGCACCGTCCGCCAACCGGAGCGCAACAGCTGTGTATTGGTGAGCAATTATCTAGATAAGGTTTCCTGCCCCCAAATCAAGAGCGTCTCCCAATCGTACGCCAGTCCTCTTACTCAGACTTGATTCAACACATCAGGTCCTTCACATTTAACACAATCTTGCTCTTCAACCACCCATCAAACCCCCCCCCCCCCCCTAAAAAAGAAAGAAAGAAAGAAAGAAAGAAGAAAGAAAAAGAGAAAATGGACCAACAGTCTGCAGATACAGCTTGCCCAACAACGGGTCAGGTTGCAACTTTCAAACTCATACAACTGCCTATTGACTTGGTATTCTACGTCTTCTCCGAGTTCGTAAAAGTAACTGTCCGAACCTGGCCGCCATCAAGAGTTCTGGGACCATCCCCCAAGACACAGAGGAACGCGGTTACCATGATGACTCCAGTTTGATCAATGATACCTTGAGGCAAGAAGAAAAGCTGACCCTTCCACTCCTGAGAGTTTCAAAGCTTTTTTGTCGCATTACTCTGGGGTATATGCTTGGTCCATCCGCATCCATCCTCGGGTTTAAGGGATTAGAGGTCCAATACAAGAGACGAAACATGTTCCCTGGAATCCCCAGTCATTTTTCCTATCGTGCCACACGCAAGGATGCACGAACCAGCCCCAATGGAGCGCCGGCAAACCGACCCGAGCTTCCTTTCTTAAATCTAGTCCAGACCTTGATTATTGGGCCTCAACCACAAGAGGAACGATAACACAAGATTTCGATTTCGGGGCTGAACCACCTACTCGCCTTATGAAGGCAATTCTGGGGGCGCTGGGAGAGGATCCTCGATTGAGGAAGCTCATTATATCAGGCGACGCTCTGAGTAAGTAATCTTAACGAATTTACCAGCTAAGAAGGAAACCTGTTTTGGATACTGCCAATACCAGTTGGGGGCGGGAACCCTGTTGGAAAGTTGACTCATTTGGCCCTTTCAATACCAGCGTTGAAGTCGAAGATCCATTTCTTTCGGCCAAACACATCTTGGTTACGCCGAGTGATACACATCTGTGTATTCTTTTGACTAGAAATGATCCAAGTGGTGGAACCATGGAGAGAATTGAGTCCCCTTTTCTGAATACCTTGAAATACCTCCACATACGTGGGCCAGGAGCACACGTGTGCTCTGAACTGTTCAAAACGGAGGGAAAGCCCTCGAAAATATCATCATCGAGATTGGTGAACGTCGTGGGTTATGTGACGCTAATATGGACCAATTGGTTCTTCATACGACAACCACTGCGTCGAGCCATCCTGAGATGTCAATCTCAATAGTCTGGTGCTCGGAAAGTCTAATCACTAGTCGCCAGACCGACAACATAATTCTCAAGAAGAGCCCCGGGGCTTTAAATGCAGATGGTACCAGGAATTGTCCCCCTTGTGATTTCTAGTTCCCTCTACCATCCACCGAATCATCCCATGAAAAGGGAGAGAAGATGCGCCGCGTTTATCCCAAGAAGTTGGGACCAACGGGGTAGAGCTTTGGCCTGTGATAAAAACTGGGGGTAGCTGAAGAAGAAAGCAAACTGACCACAGACCCCATGGAAGAGGAGACTGTGGAGTTCGAAGAGCTCGAAACGATACGTTCCCAAAAGCTTGCCGAAGATCGTTGGGCCCAATATCAGTCGAGAATACCTCATTATCTCTGCTGAGTGATTGATCCAGACGCAATATTCAAAACATTGCCCATCGATTGCTGTTTTGGGATCACATCGCCCAGCTTGAAGTTGATAAAAAAGGTTTTTGGTGAGCTTATATCTGCCTATCCTATTACAGTCGCACCTCGCTATGCCGGATGGCCAAGATTCACCAAATCTTGTACGGGATAGCAAATATTCCCAAGAAATTCGGGATAGCAAATTGATTTTGCAGTAGAAAAATAGAATTCTCAAGAAATTTCATACGGGACAGCAAGGGATCCGGCATATTGAGTTCCGCCATAGCGAGGTGCAACTGTAGTTGTCCTTTACCTCGTAAGCTGATGCGAAATTTTCATTTTGGGAGTCTTCTGACTGGTTCTAGATATTGCTACATACCATGGCGAGAAGGACGAATGTCTGTCCGTGCTTGTAGTCTCTGAAGAAGTCATTGTTCTGAATTTGTAGTGACAATTGCAATTGTATGGCAACCCTGAGTTTTTTGTTCATATTTCATGGGGTGAATTGGAGAAGAAGATGGAGTGACAAAAAACATTTGCAAGGATAATCTCGCTTAGCTAGAACTCATTGACGGCCTTGGCAACATCACATTACGTTATACCAATCTTCAATCTTGAATAAGCAGAATTGTCCCTAGGCTTCTCCTATGGTTGGTGGATATCGTAAATGACCTTTAAACTTTTCATTGAGACTATTTTGGGGTCTTAAAACTTAAATGATGGAAATATGTACATCCAAGCGGGGGGCCAAACAGAAATGGTGATAAATAAATTAAGTGCCGAACAACCAGGGCGCTTCATGAGCAGAGCATTCTCTTATTATTGGTGATAAAATTGTAATTCTTTATTACCCGCGCGTTCAGCACGACTGACTCTATAATAATAAGCCAATAGACCTAGGAATATGGCATTACGTCCTCGTATAAATATTAGCAATAGAGGCTTAAGAAATTTCAGTTTAGAGAAAAGTCTTTTATTAACCGTCACAAGCTTGACTGAACGTAATTGACAAGGTGGTGTCAGGTTTATGGTTTAAATAATACATGTAACTAGCCCCACTTGTTGAGCAGCGCTGCCGCAATCACAAAATCTATCTCTTTCAAATTACGGGATGACAGATACATACATGTATGTATATATGCCGAGTGATAGGCTGTGATTGTTCTTGGCACAGACTTTGGGATAACATGAAATAAACTAATATGGATACCTAACCTATTTTATTCTCCTCTTACTTTTATCATATTCAGTTGATTTCGCGTAGTTAGATATACCTACTGCATCATCAAAATGTGTACGATGAGATCCAGAAAGTTGAAATTTATTGGGCTGATTTGTTTGTAGAAGCATTTTTTACTTTTAAAGCAGTATATGTATGTACACCATACCAGTAAAACACGAATCTACAAGTATCTATAGAAACAGGAATGTGTGATACTTCAGCTTCATCAGTGCGCGTGCTATCGTATATACATGTGTCTCTAGGATATACAGCTCTTGATTATTCTTGGCCTCCTAAAACCAATACTAACGGGTGATTTTAGTTTGTATGGTTAATTTTACACGTATCCCACTTGATGTTACAGGTTGCAAGAGTCCATACCTAATCGATCATCTGATCTCTTTCTCATCGGTCTTTCTCCTTCATTCTTCACATATCGCTCCAAGCCATATGACTGAATTGAAGAACACGTTTATCCCCATCCCCAACGGATCAGAACTAATTATGGCTTGCTAAGTAGGTACCTTCGCTACATCCAATTCGGACCGTCCTATATTTCCACAACCTTCCCTACCAAGCAAGAACTCTATTGATTTCTCAACGGAGCAAACATCTCTAGTTATCTGCCGAGCCCACATAATATAAATAGCCAGCACTTCAAGATTTATCCCGTCTTCATACCTAGCTTATCACCAAGCTTTCGCAAACCTTCAATGATCATAGGAGCACCTGAGAGTTAAGCACGATTACTGACATCACCTCTAGCTTCAAACATCGTACACCGGCAGCTCCCTCTGTACGCACGTCAGAGAGCCACATATCACAGGCCTGAAACTAAACAGCTCTTTCTCACCAAACTCGCAAACCGGAACTCCACATATAGGTACGCCACCAATCAATCAAAAAGCAACCCCTGAATGACATCATCGCTGCTTCTGCACATACCCGTCTTTTTAGGCACCGCGCATCAAACACGCACAAACACAAACATCAGGCGCAACTCTGCGTTTCTGCACTTACACGATGTCAGGCGCAATCAGTATCTAAGCGAAATTAGGCGACCTACATTCCGTGATCACGTTGAAGATCACTGATGTTTGATAAACAGCAATCGTTTCCAGTTACATTGTACAGCGCAACATTATCCGCCACCAAGCTGGACACAATGATCAATGATCTAACGGTACACAAGAAGCTGAAGTACCTAAGAAATGTTTATAAAGCTCACCACTACTAACCCCCAGAAATCCAGATCATCACTTTCACCATCAGGATAAACATCCAAGATACAATCGCAAGAAAAAGAAATGGACAGAAACTCATCCCCATCCCCGGACGCATATAAATACCAAATGCACCATCCAGGTGTCACTTTCGGCCTCTCCTACAGCATCCCTCCTCCCCCTCCTCCTCTTCCCAACAACGAGCACGCACTGAGGGTTGAGAACAGTATCCTCCAGAGCCTGAATGATAGCCTCAAGGCCGACGTCAGTAAACTCAAGAGCGAGAACCGTAGTCTAAAGACCGAGATTAGAACTCTAAATGAAACGTTGAAAATATGGTACGGACATGCTGAGGATCTGCGGAAGCTGGTTGTGGGGTTTAATACTAGCCTGACGGGGATATTGGATCTTAATTGGAACTATAAGGAGAAGACTGCGAAAAGGGAACGTTAATGTTGCTAGTGTGACTGCGAGAGCTACTGGAGGGTAGCCGCAGGTTATTGATTTTTCTTCTTTTTCTCATTGATTCGCGATTTGTTGAAGGATTTATGGGCTATTCTTTATGTGGTCTATAGGCAGAGGAAACTATTGGACAAGCCAGGGAATGAAATTTTTATTCCTTTTTAATGCTATTTTGATATTATTACTACTTCTCCATCCATCAACGTCCATCTTTTTACATCCATAATCCTTCCACACACCACTTGTGACACGTTTACTGGCATTGAGCTGCAATAAGAAACGTCCGATTAGCGTATGACCAAACTGCACAGACTCCCGAAGATATGTGAACTCACAGTAGTAGTCATTCAACTTGACACAAGTCGATCCCGACACACAAGTAGTCGATCCCGTATACGTCGCCCCTCCGCACTGACCCCACTGCGCAACTGCAGTCCCAGAGCTCGCAGCAGTCGTCGTAGCCGCAGCAGCAGTAGTGGTGGTCTTAGTGGTGGAGACCACCGCCGCAGCTGACGAAGAAGCAGGAGTAGTACTTCCACCACTGCACGAGAAAACGGCCGGTCCAGGGATAGTGTACGACACCGGGGTAGTGTACAAGTTGAACTTGATCCCGGGGTCAGTGCCAGCATAGATACCGGGAATGTTGTAGGTAGCCGGTGTTGTGGAACCGCCGCCAGTGACGCGGAGCTGTGCACACTCCATGTAGAGCTGGGCACCGGGGTAGCTGGACGCCGCGTGCAGGGCGATCAGTTCACCACGGAAGAGCTGCGTGGTTTGTTAGTTCAATGATTCTTTATGCATGTTTGTAAGGGGCAACGGGCAGCTTACGTAGTCGCCGGGGGCGATGCAGGAGGGGATTGTAACGGTGACTTTGCCCTGGTTTGCAATGAGCTTGGCAACGGCCCATTGGCCGTTGCTGTAACCGTCCTCGTAGATCTTAAACCAGCCAGAGTTGGGGATGGCACCGGTGGCAGAGGAGACCTTGGCCATGTATACAAGGACGGGCCCGTTGTGGGAGGCATCGATGACGAGGCCGGTGGAGAGGTCGGTGTCAAGAGTGTGTGACCTGTATATATGTTAATATATTACTCTATATTACTACTAGATATTATATATATATGGGGAGTTTTAAGTGTTTGTAAGTTTGAGTAGTAGCTATAACTAATACGTACCATTGCAGAGTGATTTGAGACCCAGCAGCAACAGTAGCAACGTTGGGTGAGATCATAACAAGAGGGTTAGGACCGCCGTTGCAGGCCATCTCAGTGGCTGTGACATCGGTGATGGGCCCGTCGTAGGTGGGCAGACGCATAAAGTCATATCGTGTCTGCATTACTCCATTGATACCGATCTGCTGGAAGATTGTGTGCGCCGAAGCAGCACCGGCGAAAAGGACGGCGGTGATGAAAGACCTCATTTTTTTTTTTTTGATGAACCGCTGTGTAGTCGATTCTGAGGGAGTGAATGTAGTTAGGGATTGATGGAGAATTATGTCCCAGAAGGAGGGGAGATCGACTCCATTTAAATTGTAAAGTTTTAGATATTGACCACAGCTCCTCCACCCCCTCTCTACTGGCCCTAGCTAGTAGAGCTTTGCAATATCCACTCGTGACCTCTTAATTTTTGCCTTTGTGTAGTACGTAGTACGACCAAGACTTTGACATTACTGCTCGGTCGTTGGATTTTCGCATCTTCAGGAACCCCGTTCCGTGCATTAACAGGACGTTGATATTTAGTTTCGGAGGATTTACATCTCTGCCCCGTTGATCACAGGCGGCTAAATAGTCTATTCTTCCCTATTCGGCCACGAACCGCAATCAAATTCGCTTGGAAACGGAATGGATTGTGGGGACACCCCAGTCCACCGGGCCTGAGATCCGCAATATATATTTCAACGGTCCTGGGAGTGTCAGATTATATATAAAGGGGGATCCGGGAGCGGACTTGGAGAGAGGAAGATCCAGCCGAGTTTTTAGTCCAGTGTAACAGATACATGTAGCTACTAGCAGGTTCCTTCTGCATTAGTTGGAATGGTATGCGCGACGGCTTTGTTGTAGCTAGCGGCGTATAGGGTATACCTTTAACATTTTATTTCGCTTTTTATCGTGGAGATATATCGCCTGAAGGCGCAATAAACCGTGCAGGCGGAGCCCTCGTGGTTTGAATACCAAGACCCGGGTCATAAAAGCAAATTGATTGACGGCGGTAAGGATTTCTCGTTGGTATGAGATAAAGAATCCCAAGTCGTAGGAACCTAGGATCCAATGCACCTGTCAATATAGTATAAGGTAAGCTGGTCTATCTAATAGGCGCCTCAACAAATAACATCCCCCTCCCCCACCTGTGGACCCGCTCGGACTCTCAATCTGACACTGCTTTACTGTGACTTGAGGGCGGCAAAGCAGAAAGAATCCTGGATAGGAGTATATGGTTCTCGTACGTTTGTTTCTCTGGCTCTGTTTGCGGTGCCTGGGCATATTCTCCGATAGAGTGGCTAGGGGCAGACATCAGGAGAGAACTCTTCGTTTATCTTGGTTTAAGCTAGCGAAGAAGCAACTGCTGGGAAAAGGCTTGTAATTGCTACAGCGTAGGTACATGTATGCGTCCTTGGAAAATAGCCACGTTTTGTATGTAGTCCCCCAAACGGGATACATGTCCAACAACGGCCAAAGTACTAGTAGCACGAACAGAAAGGTCGGTGACCAAGCGCCCAAAGGAGCAGACGCTAGAACCGTAGCTGCACAGCGACGGCTAAAAGGACGGACGGAAGCATAAGCTTAAAACGACCGCAATATACCCCTTTCATCGGTCCGCCAGCAGCAAGCCAAGCAGTCGTCTAGCAGTCATGGATTATCACTCGTGCTGGCCTGGGCGGGTCTGTATTATTCATTTCGTTCCGGATGTTCTGCAGCGCGGGGTAAATCGATCGCACATGACTTTTGATTTAATATACCTCCCCTGGCTGTCTATGCATGCAGCGATCAGGAAAAACACCTGGTTGGAAGAATCTCATAGAACATAGTAGACTTTCAGTGTGAATCCTGTTTGGCTCTCTGATCGAATTGGGGTGTGAACATTGCACGCAGCATTTAAATTTCCGGTCCTGACTACCGGTACCGCGGGCCCACTAACCCTCCAGACCGAGTAATGGTATAACAGCTCTCAGCCAGCTACCTATCCTTGAAAGAGTGTTCGTGAGAAACGCCAAAATCCAGATTCTGTGGATACCGTACTTACGGATATGAAGGAAATGATTATAAAGCATTGTAAAAGAGTACGTGACCTACCAGCAAGAGAATCACTGTCATTCTAGGCTCACCATCACTACGAATACAACTCCGGTCTGAAACCTATATACTCTAAGGATTACGTATATATGCCTCAACGGCGTAACAACGTACCAATCGCTGTATTTCTGACTTGTTCTCTTAAGATCTAGAGTCACTCGTGAATATTAAACGGTTTAGGTCATTTGGCTATTCTGGCTACATGCATTTCTTCAAGTTAGAAAACCAAAAAATCGACCAAGATAAAAGATCATCCCAGCCTGCCTTTTCAGTTAAGTGACCTCGTCTTGGTATCTTCTAGATACTATTTCAATAAATATGCAGTTTAACCCCCCCCCCCCCCCCTTTTTTTTTTCCTAGTTAAACTCTATAGTGCTGCTGCTGAGAAGCAAGCCCCCTGACTCCCCCAATTCCAAGGTTTTTCTGGATTGGGAGCATGGCTCCATAACCGGTTTCCCCGTTTCAACTTTTCAACCACGGGACCGGCGAAGCTACGGTTGGAGAGATTCATAGTGGGCCCCCGCGTCCAAACCAAATCGTTCACGCAGGTAATTGAGACGAAAGTAAATACGCAGACGACGAAAAGATTAGATGACTTTATGCCACAATGAATATTCCCTGTTTGACATTTGCATGTCAAGAAAAATAGTTTTGGATCCGCGGCTGTAGCATTCATTGAGTAATCTACACCCAAACCCTTTACCAAGCCCATAGCGAGATCACATCCGAGTCCATAGTATATAAGTCTTTTACCGATAAGCAAAACAACCTCACCTGCCAAACGACGTTTATTTAAAGAGGTAACTCGTTAATACAGTCTGAAAAGTCGGTTGGCTGAAAAGTCGGTTGCAAACTCCAAAGAGTGGGTTGGTTGCAACGTTAGGCGCTGGCACAGTATGTTGCATGATCAATCATTGACCTATCCCACTTTCTCGTTAAGACTCTTCTGCAAAACCGACCAAAAAAACATTTCCTCATCAAATAAAACAATAATATTATATCTTTCCTACCTTCCCCCTAAATAACCACCCCCCAGAACCCACAGAACCCCCCCCCCCCCCTCACACAACCGTCACCAGCTGCGGGTACTGCTCGACCACATACTCCACATCCTTATCCCCCTCCCACTCACATTCACCAATACCCTCGTCCTCTCCCCCCTCTCCACCGCGTCCTTCGCCACCTTCATTGCCCACGCAATCGCATGCGCGCTCTCCAGCGCCGGAATGATGCCCTCCGTGCGACTGAGCGCAAAAAACGCCTGCACGGTCTCCTCGTCCGTTGCGCCGCAGCCCGCCTCGGTGCGTCCGATAGAGCGTAGGTACGCCTGCTCAGGGCCGACGGAGGGGTAGTCGAGCCCGCTTGCGATCGAGTGCACGGGCGCGGGGGTGGGTGCGCTGGATGTGATGGTGGGGGGTGTTTGCAGCATGATGGAGTTGAAGCCGTGCATGATTCCTTCGGAGCCGGAGGCAAGGGAGGCGGCGTGGTCGCCGAGGGTGGGGCCGCGGCCGAGGGGCTCGACGGCGTGGAGCTTGACGGTGGGGGAGTCGATGAAGACGGAGAAGATACCCTACACCGCATAATAATTAGCCCTCCCCTACAGGAATACAGTACATAAAATATAGGGTATACCCACCATGGCATTCGATCCCCCGCCACAGCACGCCACAACATGATCTGGCAGTGTCCCCGTCCTCTCCAAAAACTGCTCCTTTGCCTCCTCGCCCACCACCTGCTGAAAGTTCCTCACCATCATGGGGAACGGATGCGGGCCCACCACGCTACCAATGCAGTACATGGCCGTCACCGGATCCGCCATATACGCGCCAAACGCACTGTCTACTGCCTCCTTAAGTGTCTGGAGCCCCTCCGTTACAGGCACGACCTTCGCACCAAGGATCTTCATCCGAGTCACATTAGGATGCTCCTTAGCCATGTCCACAGCACCCATGTGGATCTCGCACTCGAGACCGAAATAGGCGGCGGCCGTGGCGAGTGCGACGCCGTGTTGGCCGGCGCCCGTCTCGGCGATGACTTTGCGCTTATTAAGGTGTTTGGCGAGGAGTACTTCGGCCATCTACAAAAAAAATATCCCAATTAGCTTCCAGACCGTATATCAAGCCCGCCAAGAAATACTTACGCAGTGGTTCAGCTTATGCGCCCCCGTATGATTCAGGTCCTCACGCTTGAGGTATATCTCTACACCCGTCTCTCCGCCGCCACCAATGCTCTCGCTGAGGCGTTTTGCGTACTGCAGCGGCGTGGGGCGGCCTTGGTAGTTTCTGCGGATCTCGTCGAGCTCGGCGATGAATTGCGGGTCCTGGCGGAGCTCGAGGTAGCGGGTCTTGATCTCGTCCATTTGTGCCTGGAGGGGCGGGGGGATGAAGCTGCCGCCGTAGGGGCCGAAGAAGCCGTTAGCATCTGGGTGGGAGGTGAGGTAGGGCTCGGTTTTGGCTTCCATGATGGCGATTTTAAAGTTAAAGTTGGATGTACTTAGAGGAAGAGAAGAGGTAGTATATGTCTACTGCTACTGGATTGTAATTGGGGACTGGCCTACTCTAATAGCTTCCCTCCTCCTCCCAAGGGTCGAGTGAGGGGTTATGGCTTATATAGGGCCCGCCGGTCCAACCCACCCACTCACCTCCCCAGATAGAATTTAGTTCTCTGCATCTGTAACATGCAAAAACAGGGGTTTGTCCCCCACTCTCATCTATAAAAGGGATATCAGCACTGTGATTGGCGGTAAGCATGCAAGATCTCACTTACCGCTTTACTACAGATACCAGATAACATGAGTAACAACATCCAACTCTAGAATATCCCTTTCCCACCAAAAGGAAACATCTTGTGCGTGGCTTTGTCATTGCCACTAGTCTACTGCAACGACTTTTGTGATCTTAACAAAGGACGTTATAGAGAGCACATGCAGGGTCGCGGTGAGTTTGCGGCCTTGGCAGAGTTGGGGAGAGTCTGTCACGTGATTGGTACTGTAACGGGCTGAATTCGTACATGTATTTTGTTTCTCCAGTCGAGGAGAGTGTGCATATATGGGCGTATTCGTGAGATGTTTCGGCAATTACATGTATGATACCAGGCTGTGTTCTAGAACAATTACAACATAGCAGATAAATGTGTATGTAGACAGTAGGCCAGAATTGGGTTTCGCGCAGGCCCCGTGACGTTTCCCAACCGACGTGCGATCACCGATTCTCACTCGGTGTGCCACGAACCACATTCTATGACCCTAACCCGGACAACAAAAAATCCCCAACACAAAACACAACCAACCCGCCCCCTCAGCTACATTCCACATATAAAACCCGCACATATAAAGACACCCCACGCCTCCAAAATGCACCACCCACAACGAACCCGCACCCGCGGCCCCCGCAACCGCAAGCCCACCGGAGGCAGTCCCCACGCACCTCCTCGCCCATCCCCCGTCGTTGTCCCCACCAATACATTCACGCGCCCCGGCACCCGTGGTACCCTCTGGTTCCCCACCCGCCAACCCTCAAACCAGCACCCCCAATCCCCACACCTCAATGAGCGCCCCCAACCCCCGCAGCCCGCCCCCGAAGATGACGGCCGTCTCTCCCGTGGCAGCAGCGACATCAGACTCCCCAGCATCGGATCCTTGTCCGGCTCCGGTTTTAGCAGCGCCACTAGGCCCCCGCCCAGAATCGAGGTCCCGCTACCAGTAGCGCAGGTGCGGGCGCAGGTGCAGCCCCGCCCAAAGTCGCTCGGGCAGAGTGTGGTCGTGGGTATCCGTGTGGAGCGTATGACCTCCGTCCTTGCCGCATGGGATAAGCGCTGGGAAGCTGCATGTGAGCTTCCTATATCTCCCGAGGAGGAGGACAGTGTAGAGAAGGACAGCGAGGAGCAGGAAAGCGAGGAGGAAGAGAGCGACGAGGAGGATAGCGAAGAGGAGGAGGACGAGAAGGAGAGAGCTCCTGCTCTACCCACCACCATTACTATCACCATTACAACTCCAGCCAAAGACAAATCCCAAGTCCTCGACGAGAATATAAAAGAGGATGCAAAGGCCGAAGAACTACCTCCCTCCTCAGCCGGTGGTGTAGCGCTCCCACCCTCAGTGGTCGAGTATCTGTATCGCCCGAGGACCACGCGCGAGATGCAGCTGGAGCAGTTGAAGGCCAAGATCCCGTGGTTGGTTGGGCAGGGGACGTTGGGTGGCGCGGGGTGGAGGCCGCTGGAAGAGTATTATTGGGATGAAGGGGGGTCGGGGAAGACCTGAATGCTGCGGTCAGGAGATGGCGAAGCCGTATAGGTTTTGCCGCTATTCGTACTTTGTTTCGGGCGGATACTTGTAACATGGAGAGGCTTGTCTTGTGGGCCTGGTCATGTCCTTGTTCGTATGTGGTTTTCCTGTTGTCGGTTGATTCTACTCCTTGTCACTGACTTTATAATGACTTGCGGTACTATATAGCTACTCGCCAGCATTATAGTTACTCGCCCACCAGCTGTCACAATAGCTCTCCCCATGTAGGGCACTATAACCAAAAGAGACAACTATTAGTAATAGCTCACTCAGAAAACAGTAATTTCAGGAGCTCGGGATATTGGCGGTGGATAGTACATTTTCTTGTTCTTTTTACTTGTATCTTTACGTCAGCCAATATGCACTAGCTCACCGAGTGATAATCCATGAACCACTTTTTTGCATGTGCGCAAAGTTCTAAAACGCCTCTCGCGGGTACTGGGGTGGTGGTGGATGATAACAGCACTTTATGATAAAACCTATTTAATGCCCCCCGATGCATATATAGTTCGGAAGTACGGAAAATCAAATTAGAGAAGTGAAGAAAACCAGGAGTTCTAGTAGAAGATTCCTGAGCTACCAGGCACAAAGTGCACGAGCGTTTAGACATAACGGTACAATGGTCCGAAAACAAATCTACAATTACTTTGATATATAGACTTCTCAGCGAATCAAGATCAAGAAACTACATATGAACTATTCTGTAGGTCTTCTATGGATTGGCCCTCCCTTTCTTGAGTTTTAGGTTGGCGCTGGGAATAGTAAAAACCCTAACCCTATGTCGGAGCCAAGGTCAAACTGTACAACAGCCACTACCTCGAACCTCCACTGAACCGGTGAGGAGGGTTGACCCACCTTGATCTTTGAGATACCGCTTGTTCTTTGTTCTCTTTGGATTCAAATCTACTTGACCGTTCATAAATATCATCCGCCATAAATTAACACATTGAGTTTTCATTTTTAACACATTCATTATTTTAATCGACACAACAGCTGTTCTTTACTCAAACAGTTCACATACTGAGAAAAACCCCGGCATTAGTTTGTTTTGACCAGCTGATGCTATTTCTTTCTTTGGGGGAGTACCGAGCAGTAAATTTTTACAGACATGAACATAAGATTGCGGTGCTATAGCGTAAAGGGATCGTTTAAGTACAAACATCTATCATTCTATTGAATCACTCCAAAGAATCGGACTTATCGCCCCCATGTACTATTTCTGTGCCATTTAGCCTTTTAAAAGCGACGTTTCCCTTGTCTCCTGGGCAAGTGCTCATCGGCCTCCATCTTTGGTTCTTCCTCCTCAAACTGCTTCACTGTTGGCTGTTCAACAGTCCATTCCCTCTCGCCATTTGCGTTTGTTTTGACAATAACATTAGCAACTTGAAGGCCAACGGGCCTGAGCCTTCCTGCTTTCCCACCAATCTGAATTTCGCGCGATTTTCTCTGCGCATCATCCCTCGAGTCCTTAATGAGTGCCTCCAATGCCTCCGCCGTATTCCTATCGAGATCCTCTTTCACCATCGCTTCTTGGTAAAACGATCGTTTGGTGGCAAATCGCTTGTCCGTGAAGGTTCCACTCTGTTCATCGTAGTTAGGATGAAGATCTAGACAACTTTGACCTTGGTGACATGGCCCATTGAGGAACAGCGGACACAATTTACGCACTTTGGCTTCAAAGGGATCTTGCTTTGCTTCATGGACTTTTTCCGGAGCTGTTTCGGGAGTAATTGGCACAGTCTGTGCTCGGCTATCTACGAGACACAAAGATTCTTGGGCGGTCGAACCGGGCTTGTTGGTGAATCTTTGCCATCTTGCTGAAACATCACTAATAACGGACTCTTTTTGCGATTTAATAGTCTTTGTGGTGTTAGTAAATCATTACCGCGAGTGAGATAGAGGAAACGAACAGAACCGCCACGACTCGAACCACGACTCGAACCACGACTAGAACTCCCGCGGTGAGCGCTCAATGGAATGGCTGGCATCTTATGGCTTTTATTCTTGGGATTGTCTTCGCCGATCCTTCCCTATTTCACGTAAGTTTCCTTTTCTAAGATAACTAGATCGATGAGCACTTACATATGGCGATGCAAATAGAACACTTTGACGTTGGGGTACCAAATCCCTTTGTTCCTGCTTACCTTCAGTGGGCGAGGTGATAACCCCTTGTCTCCCATAGTTGTTCCGATCATGCCTTTCTCGCGCCACGCAACAATTTCCTTTTCTTTCTCACTTGATTTGTCGAACTGGGAACCGATTTGTGGAGTTGTGGACTGCGATCGTGGACCGTCATATTGTCCAGGTCTTCTTAAGCCACGGCTAAATATAGTTCCTTTAAAGGATCCCCCAAAAGAATCTTTCATGGGCGCTTCATCTCCCGTCTTGAGCTTGGGATGTTCTTTCTTAATCAACTCAATTGGTTTGATCCATTCGCCAGGGGCAACACCATCAGAATCACTCTCATCATCATCACAAACACTCCCACGGGAATGTATGCGAGCAAGTACTGAAGGCCGACTCGTTGGGAGAATAATATTGTCGTTTTCCGAAGAAATAGAGAGTTGACTAAGCCAGCCTTCAGTCACAATCTTCGGATCATTGGTATTTTCATCTCTTATTGGTTCAAATTTGAATGGGTCGAAACATCCTGGTCTAGCCGCCGAAGAACTTAACTTAAACCCTCGTTTAGGGCTTGGACTGGGACCTGGTGAACGTCTTGATCTTTCCGCATCCTCAAAAAAAGCCTTTCCTGCTTTGTCTGATTCTTTTCCGGATATAGAATCCTCTCTCAAAGAAAATGTTATACTTCCCTCGCTTGACATGGAGCTACGTCGAGAGATCGGGGTGGATTGAGCGAAACCAGTCTCAGAATCTCTAAAGAATCCATCATCACTTGTCGTAAGGTTCTCCACCGAAATTTCTTTACTATCCTGCTGCGACATTATCATCTCATCATCTCTGCTGGAAACACCTAGGTTAATCTTTTTCTTGGAATGATCCTGATACCTCGAAACCTGCTCGGTTTTTGTTTCTTCCGCAGAATCTTTGACCTTCTCAAGGTTACGGTCATGAGCACCCTCTCCCGCTTGTCCATTTAAGTGGAGAGCACTAGAAACCTTGCTAGATGGTGATACACCTACACAAGTTCTAGACCGCTCGAAGGATTCCCCCGTCCTAGTGATAACGTCGATTATCGGTAACCCTTGATATAAACCCGTCTCGATGTGTTTAACCTCTGGTGAAATAGTTTTTTGGATGGGAATAGTTTGGAGTTTGGTACAGATTTTGGGTTTCCCGCTCCAGATTGGCAATGAAGGTGCATCATTACTATGACTAGCCGCAGTTCCTCGGATAACAAGTGTGGCTAGAAATGTAGCCATTTGGGGTATCTAGACTTAATAGTATCTGGAATCGTTTTAAATCCAGGGCTGTCAAATTTCTTCACGGGATCTGTAATCATGTCTTTTATACCTATCACACAGTCAAAACTTTTGTTTGATACACGGAGAGATGAATGTTTTACTTACTGGTTTCTCCCTCCAGAGAAAGCCTCCAATGATCCTCAACTAGTTGCTTAAATTTAATATCTCCAAACTCCTCTTCCTCCTCTATTTCAGGTGCAAACTCAAAGCTTTCATCTGAATCCTCGGATTCCGTATTCGGAGAGTTATTGCCTTCTTCCATCCTCGCAGAACGCTCATACATTGCTCCCTCGTCAGTTTTGAGTTTCGTGCCTTCGTTGCTCTCTTCACCAGTAGATCGAACAATTGAAACTTCCTTTCCCAAGTCGAAATGGCTTGTTATTTTAATCTTACTGGTATGACTATCACTAATAGGAGACTTGTATCCGTGTAGATGCGCTATATTTCAAGATCTCATGGGTTATTCTCACAGGACGTTCATAGAGAGGAATAGGAGGGTATTACCTTCGGTATCAGTTCCAGTTTTTGTCCTTGTGAAGGTGGTCTCAGTTTGAACTTTTATTGGTGTAAAATCAAATGGAGGTGCAAATGGGTTGAATTGAACCTTGGTTGGTGTATGCTCCAATGGAGACGTAAAAGGATTAATTTGACTCTTATTGGGCGTGAACTCAGATAAGGATTTTAAAAAATTGAATTGTTTCTTGGCTGAAGCATCAAATGTGGATGCAAGTGGATTAAGTTTATAAGAGCCAGGAGATTTGATGCTTGAAGGGGTTTGTTCTCGTGTTCAGATTCTGGCTTGTCCTGGAGCTCCCTCGACCCCATGTTGGATGCTCCAATGTGGTTGTCGGTGTTTCCAAGCAAAGATCCATTCTTTTGTTCGCGATTTCTAGTCGTAGACTCCGTAGGACGAGTCGAAAGAAAATCAAAATCTGAGATAATTAATACGACTTCTATAGGGTGACTTACCAGTGGCAGTGTTGTAGGCCAGAAAATAAAATCATGAGAGTACTTACTGTTGGTTGTGATTTTCAACTTTATTCTTCTACTTCCAGATGGAGGGGACGCGAGAGCAGTGAATCTGTCGTGAAGGGAGTTTCCTTGCTTAGCTCCGGCTGCTTCATGAACCGACATAATGGGGGTAAATGATGAAAAACGAGTGGAATCATCAGAAACGGGATCGTCATCCAGGATTGAACCTTTTTCCTCCATCTATTGGTTGAGTATTTTGAAAAACTTGCTGATTGCTTTGAAATATTGATAGGTGTGCGTGGTGGTGGTGGTGGTGGTGGTAAAGTGAGAAGGTTGCCTTCGATGTTTGCTCACACACCAGATTCAGTTCGCAGCTCAGCACTCCCGGGCAAACTGCACAGAATTATTAGACGACCCAGTTAGCAACATGAAATACATCCAATCCTCGACGCCAAGATATTCGAGTGATGGTTTATGCCCGACCTCGCATCCCAGCCTCACATCATAAAAGCTTACGGGCAATAAATTGCTCTAATGTCCACACATACATGCAGTCTACTGACTTGTGGCTTAACCTCTTGAATAAAAACTCCCTTATCGACAGCTTAAGATAGTAGCTTCTCATATTGCAGTTGTGACACTGGCCGAGAGTAGCTTTTGTAAGGATATCATTTCATAAACCTTTACCGAGCAATTTGGCAGCTAATCCTACATACATGTACATCGCTAGAAGTTTAATCTTAACCTGCCAAAGCAAACACTGCTATAACCGTTGCCGCGCCCGCTAACCCAGCCCTAAAAGTGCTCCTTGAACTCCACTCTTCCAAATCTCTCTTCACTTTCCTGTCATCCACAACTTGAACCCCCATTTTTCTTTTCTCATTCTGCTCCACTGATTCCGCAGCGGCCAGTAAACTCGATTTAGCTTTCTTTAAGATTATCTGACTATATGGAATGACAATTGCCAACAGCACAGTCGAGGCACCGTACATTGCCCACTCATATCCAAGCGGATACTCGGTTGTTGTTGAGGGTATGAAAGAACTCGAGGAGAACGTGGTCTTTGCTACCGATACGTCCGGAGGGTTCGAGTATAGATAGTAGGACACGTATGCAAAGGATGATGTGGAAGCAAGAAGCGTGTATAACATCGGTCGATCGGTGGTTTCTTTAATTTTCTTAAAACTCTTGACCATTTTCTCTGTAGGTACAGAGGATTCGAGGAGAGACGGAATTGTATGACGAGAATGCGTATAGTAAAGTCCTAAAACCACAAGGTTAGTATAGACTTATCACCTTAGCTTTGTTTCTTTCAGTGGAAGTCCTACCAGCTAGGACCCCAGAGCCTACAGTCCCAATTATCTTGGCGTAACGAACCGCAGGAGGAAGCATGGTCCCTGAGTTTGGAAGCGAAGACATTTTGCAATAAGAGCTTAAGAAGTATACGGAGGGAGTTTAATAAAGTTAAAGAATTGATTGCGAGAAATGAGATGTTCGCTCAACTGTTAATATATAAGGAGTAGAACGCCAATTACGTCATGACGACGTTTTGCCAAGGCTGCCCCGGCGTAGAGACATGTATGTACTACGGGTGCCGGGGTAAGTCTCCAGAACTGTTGTCTGTTGCGACCACGACCACAGTTCTGGAGACTTACCCCGGCACCCGTAGTACATGTAGTTGACGACAAGAAGGAACAGCGCGAATGGGTTTCAGAAAAACTTTACAAGAAGTTATTGATACACACGCTAGAGTTAATCCGAATCTCTAACTAAATATGTTGAAATGCGGGCTCATAAAGTGCCTAAATCATTATCATACATATCTCCCACAAAAACTTGGTAATTCAGAGTAACATCAGTTTGTCGACGTCAACTGGAACAATACCTTAACGAAACAAGGCTAAGTTAGAATACTACATGTACTCTACTTGTAACTTAAGGGAGGTCTAAATAAGATTAGGGTTAACGAATTTCCGTAGTACACAAGCACCATGGAACCCTAACCCTATGTGGTGACGGCCATGTGTTTAAAATCCAATAGGAAAAGGGTGACTACTGACATTTCTATAACCAACTTCGAATTACTTTCACGAGGCCTGAATAAAGTTTATTATCTACATAACTCCCATGCGTACATCCTACCCCAACAGGTCTTGAAGAGAGTGATTTATGTCGCAAAATATAACCACTGGCACTTCAGCACTTCTTTCACTAAGTCCCGAGACATGATCTTGCTTAGGCTCGTTCCCAGCCCTCCTGCCAATTCTTACTCTGAGAAAAGCCACAGTCCTACGTGACAAATATTTAATAGCTACTTGTAGGTATAGAGCTTAGTCTAGTTTTAGCATGGGCATAGAACTAGAAGTAATTTGCGCAATAAATAGCGGGCCAGCGCCAGAGTCCGCTTCAGCCCCAATTCGAGTGATCATAGGTGACGGTCTTAATCTTGGAAACGGTCTATTCCCCTCAGCTGCTGCCCATGAAAGGCGCAGTAAAAGTTTAATACACGTGTACTACCAACATGCATTTTCTTACAACGACTGTAGAATTTGTCTCCTTCATTTCCCTGGTTTTGTCACCGCCCGTTGGTTCACATGGCGTCAGCCCGCTCTCTTGTGGCACGTTACGACGGGGAGGGCGGACCAAATTGCGGCTCTGAAATCTGCAGTGCCACGGATATGAAATGAGGGGTAATGCAAGAGTGATCGCTTCCATGCAGTGACAGTCGGTGAATACTCTACAGCACAAAGAAACCGGCATCACTAATATTATTACTCTCCCTAGACAACAGACAGAGACGTAGCAGACAGGAGTCTACATGATGCCTATGCATCCCCGGTCTCAAAGCTCTTAATAACTAGTACTTGAAGCGACGATCTTGATGAACCTCTAAATAACTAACTTCCCACATATGGAAACTCCTACGAGAACAGCTGTCTTCATACCGATCTGCTCAAGGTTTTAGGAATTAGTCGCGGCACACATCGCGGAAAATGAACTGCACCAGGGAGTCGTAGCCGGGGTTTGATGGGGACGACTGGCAACGGCCTCGACAGAATAACAACAGCAAGGACAGAGTGCTTCGATCATGCACGGACTTGTATTATACAACAGATATAACAACCACGTCCTAATGTTTTCAGCTGGTTCTTGACCAATTCTCCAAAGCACATTCGCTAAGATCTGCGCGAATGCTGGGATGTGTACTGGTATTCCCGGTCTTTCTTTCATGCTAAAGACAAACCTTGAGTCGGGATGGATAAACATCCAGCTGAGAATGAAGTATTTCTGTTCCAGGGATCTGGTCTGGACGGGGTCCTCACATGTAAAAAGAGCTTCCATTCGATGTCGATCCTAGACTGCGATTCGTTCTTTAAAGGGAGCCATGGCCTTTCGTTCCGCAAGACAGGATCATGGCCACTTCTATAGCTAACCCGATGGTAGTTTTCTTTATTGAAAAGAGTAAGTTTTGCTTGCTCGAGTTGTTTTCATTGCCACCGTGTTAGGAAAGTCAGAATAAGAATTTAGTGAAGAGTCGTCGTCGCCCTGTACCAATTTGGTAGTGGCCAGGACGCCCCTGAAACAGAATGGCCAAATTCGGCTGGGAGTGTCAGAAAGGGACAACAAGATGAATTCCAACGTTCCAATCTCAGCTGCGCCTTCACCATCTCCCAGCGGCGAAGCGGCGAAAAGACTGACGCAGGCCGTCTACGAAGCTTTGTCCCCGAATCCCAATCATGGCGTCCTTGAATCTTGGGAATTGCTTGATTCGTTCCTTCCAAGGTCTGTGGCTGAGCGCCTCATGCAGACGGAGAAAGAAATTAGGGCCAATGTGGGGGCCGCTGGTGGGGTATCTTTGAGGCTCATAATTGGATTTCCATTGCATGAGACCAGCTGAAGGGGACGTGTTTTAGAGTTCCACAAACATGGACTTTGACTTCTGTGCAGATAAGTACAATAATGTCATGTCGCCTGTCTTCTTCCCGAGGACTCGCATGCAACAGTACACATTTGCAACCCTTCATATTTTTGAGTGGCCATTTCCCTAGAATACAGACAGACTCTTTCTAGCCTGTTTTCTAGTCAAGTCTCAAACTAACTACCATAATCGAACGTCACATTCCGAAGCACTGTCTCGTTGATACTTGACAGTTAAACCATACGCCGACAGACATCGTCGTTTATGCAAACGCTTACGCGTTCCTCAAAAGGTAATGTAAATTCAAACTTCATCCGATTCTATCAAGAATCTTGCCACTACATCTTGCCACTTGATGTATATCACTTTGAATTTATGATAGATATACTAACATCAAGCACTTGTAGTTATTCACATATCAAGTACCCGGAATCCCTTGAATGCGGAATGTCTGGCTCGACCCAAGCAAAGATTTACCTCTCCACCCTTTTACCGATAGCTGTCACCGCCGCCGTCCTCCCTCAAAACGGAATGTCTTTATACCCACGCCTTGATAAGTTACGGAGCATACCGTGCGATCCCGTGAGCATAGAGAAAGTTCAAAACTTCTTTACCAATGCAGGGATAGGTTCTACTGGGATATTTTTGGCCATAGTATTGGGGCCGGTTGTTGTCCGGAGTATCTTCAGGTGGCAGAATAGACGACGAAGAGAAAGGGAACAACGACTATCTGCTCCGGTGGTAATGCCGCTGGGGGAGGAGCGGAAGGAGGAGGAGAAGAAATCTTTGATATATGGAGATAATCCCGATTATCACGCGGGTGTTGATTTGACGCCTACACCCCCCTCAAGCAACACAGCCGAACGTCAACCTAAACGTTTTAGGCATCTCCGAATACACAGCCTAGATGAACTTCCACCGCCAACCTTAGACGATATATCCCGTCAAAGCATATCGTGGAGTTGCCCTGTGAGTCCAGTACTCGAATCTGCGCCAACTCTGAACAAGCCCGGGAAGAGGCGGTCTCCGTTCAACCCTGTAGTTCCGGGCATGAAAACCACCTGGGAGGAAGGTGTGGATCCGGTAACAGGCCGGAGGTGGAAACGCAAATTGGTGGTTTATACCTCTCTCGAAACGTTAGATAAAACATCAGACGAAAAAATGGTTGGAGAACTAGGATCCCAGGAAAACGGTTCCCCCCCGAGGTCATAGCTCTTTTCTTTTTCTTTTTCTTTTTCTCCTTCTCCTTCTTCTTCTTCTTTAAGGGAGGCTGTTGGTACACAATTCCGAAATGGAAATATTTGTTTATTGATTTACTTTTTTGTTGACAATCTACTCTTTTCCTTTTTGCATGAACATATTTTGGCTGATTGTTTCCAATCAGCATGGTTAATACCAAAAACATCTGAGATTTTGTTGTGTAATTTAATTGTTCCGACCCCAGTTGTTGAATCTATGTCCTGGTCAGTTATCGCGATCATGAATGCTCATTCCAGAGGCTGGAATACATCCATACAAGGCAACATCTCAGCTGTATGAAGTAACAAATATAGCACTCTCAGCTAGCCTTGCGTGATGTATGTACGGTGCCTATCTTATCTCGGTACCGGAATTCCAAATTACGGTTTGCTGCATGAAAGCTGCCTAGCTCGCAAGTCAAATCACGTTTCGCATGCAAGGTTCATGTTGCACCACACCTGTCCTGTAACACCCTAGCTGTTGTTGTGCTACCAGCATTGGCACAACCAAAAATTTATTAGTTAATCCAACCGTCCAATAACCAAAGCGGAAAAACAAATAATCTAAATAGTAACAAAAGACGCAAGGAACCATTTAAAGAATGCCATTCTTGACATGATTGGCGTCTCACTAGTACATCCCAGCAGTGCGCGTGCAGTTGCGTAAGGATACACAGTAGATCCCACTGCGCGCCGCTTTCAGCCGATTTTTGCACCTGAACTTAACCGCTTGAAAAATATCTGTCCGGACCGGAGTTCTTACCCAGATAAATTACTCCTTACTGTTTTGTTGCTGGCACGCTTCTAGTACGGCGGCTGTCCGTTCGTGTACCTGTGTATGAGAAACCAAGCTTCGCTGGAAGGTCTCAGGTCGTCTCAATGAGTCGTCTTGGCCTCCATGGGTTTCGGGTCAATCCGAGCTGAAAAGTCGGGACGGTCTGGTCTTATGACGCCATGTGAGCATCACCAGAGCTAACAATCTGATACTTTGGTTGGTGAAACGAGAGTTATGCAGTTGAGACATCTACCCGCAACTGCGTGCGCGCGTTTTTGTGCACAAGAGAGCGGGGTCCAAACTTAGTGAAGTGTTGATTTTATTGACTGGGAGGCTGTGACGTGGAGTTCCGAGAAGATTCTGTAGCACGATAATTATACACTTGCGCAGGGTTTTGAAAGAGCTAGTGTAGCAATTGAATGACAGGTCATGTTTGATTGTGGATCGATCGGTGTGCTACCTGTGAACCCGATACCAGGGAGCTTCTGAGTGACGTGAGTTGTCGAAGCCGGCACTACGCTCCGAAAACCCTGGGGATCAGCTCAAGGATTGCATTCATGTAGGTACATACTTTCCACCAATAACGTTAATTCTTGTTCAGATGGCAGTTAGTCGAGTGATGACCTGTGAATCTCTTGGTCTAGATTTTTACATATGCATGTACTCTGCTTACTCCGACCCCGTGAGCACCTACTAGCTAGAGTCGATTAATTAATTGTAAATTTGCAAGTACATATAGTCAACACGGGATACATGTATTTCCATATATTCCAAGGGCGTCTTCAGCTGATCAGCACTTCTATCGTTGAGACTCACAGAAAAGCCAATTTCTCTTGGCAAATCTTAGTCTTACAGCTGTACATGAGCTAGAACGGCGGCAACCAAAGTCACATTAGGGCTTACGTCCTTCACAAAGTGCCCGGGACGCAAGGGAAATTTTTGAACTGTTCTTCATAAAACCACGCACGTGATGCAGAAGCCACGCATTGACTTTCGCAATCCTCATCCGCTCTCTGGTGGGCGTGCGCTTTGGCGGATGCTGCAGAATTACATCAATTGGATGTATACGTATGTGACAACAACAAAGAGTTTTGTATTAGAAATACGGTAATTCCCAGCTTCGAAGTTTCAAAGTTCACTAATATTTTGGTGTCAAGATCGAAATAACTTGCAACTCGAGCGCTCGATCGCCCAGTGGGATTACTAGGTCGTATTATTCAAGTACAATACCCACTCTCAAGGCTCAAAGCTGAAAGTCAAACATAGCGGGGTATCCTCACGTTCATTAGTGCTCGTGTAAGCATGTGATTGAATTACTTCGCATTGCAGCAACTCCTGGCTCACTAATTCTAATCAGTCTCAACATTCACTCGTCGCGGAATTGACGTCCTGATATCGCTGCAAAGAAACCAAGTGGTTTAACTGCATATGTTACCTCAAGGAAAAGAATTATCTTAAGTACGTGTATCATAGATACCTTTCTAATCACAATCATACTTGCTAACTTTCTTTAGGTCACACCAAATGCACTTTCGTTATATACATATGTGGTGTATGATATACAACCGAATTAATACCATTTGCTATACTCAGATTCCAATTGGAAACCTTTTATTGATTTCGGCGATAAAGATGGTTAAAATTCCAATAGTGGGGTAAATCGGTAATATCACCAATGAGGGAACATCATATTACTCCGGTTCCTAGTAGGTGGCTGGAGTGAAAAGAAATTCTTGTGAATTTCATGACCTCGTGGAGGTAGATTCACCATCGTGTACTAAATCTTTCCGAATAACACTTCTCATTGCTGCTAGAAATATTAAAGTCCGCCCTAAGGTATTGATAACTCAACTACCACCCGGCATCTAACTCGACATGTAGAAGTGCACACACTCAAGTAATCAGTCTAAATTTATACCGGAGAAAATATGAAACTGTCCTATTGTTTTTGCAGAATGAGAAAAAAATTGACGGAAAGAACCCTGGGAAAATCCGAACCTGATCAGCTGGGCCGAAGGCCAATGATTGGAATATGTAGAAATGGTGGGGGGAAGAGGAATGCTTTAGTATACGGACATAATCGGTTTTGGACCAAAACACCTAGGTAAGGTAAGGAGTACGATATAGTTCTCGACTATTTTAATATAGGTATATATTAAAAAGATACATGTTTGTCTGATGAGAACGTACAGGAAGCCCCGCGGGGTGGGTCTGAGACATCGTGGGAATAGCCTAATCATATTTAGATAGATGCCAAGCTTTGGCGTACATCTAAGACACATTGTTTTTTAACTGCAGCTGGTATTTACCAAGTCGAATTGATATGAAGGAATACTAGGAGTTTAAAATCGAAAATTAAATGGTCAGATTTCATGTAATGGATTGATGTCTAAAGAGCCAACTTAGAAAATATCGAGAATCTAAACTGTGAAATACTTCTGTATATCACTAGGAATTATTGGCGCGGACTGAGCATAAGCTGGTGAGTTATTTGCAGCATATATATATCCAGGTTCAGTCGAGCTCAGTTCCATGCCCGAGAAACGTTGGAAAAACCACTGAATAGAAGATTTAATAGCGAATTTAGTAGCTAGAGCTAGAGACCTTAAATTGAAATTTGGCTTGTACCGAAAATTCTTCTACTCCTACGTGTCTTCTATGACCTCTGGTCATCATATTCTACTGTAATTTCAAGGTCCATCATTAACACTGTTCTCTCTAGACATCGATGCAACTCAACATTCATCAAACTTACCACCGAACGAAAAATTTCCATACCTTATCGAATAGGACCGTAACCTAATATACGTTGCGAGTATACACTAGAGGATGGTCCGACTCAAGGAGATCAGGGACAAGCTCCGTCCAAATGCTTCATTCCGATCCTGGCAGGCCTCTCACACCTTTGGTGGAACTACAAAATCGAAACCCCTCTACATTGCGGGCTTTCGCCGCAAAAGTTTCTATTATATTGCCGGTTTAGCCGCAACCACAGTATTGGTTGGTGGCGTAACAGGTGGTGTGGGTGTTCGGGGCAGTCTAAGAAATGCCAAGGACCTTGGGCAGGCGGAGGGAGCACTCGGGCAGCTGGTAGAAACTAGTATGACACAGACCAGAATAAGAACTCTGACGAGTGATGGACTCTTGATATTGACAACGGTTATTTCAAGCTTCATAACCACTGCCCAGAGAGGAGGCGGTGTTACTGTGATAAGGACCACGGGAGCAGACGGTGAAATAGTGACAATTCTGGGTGCTATAACCTTCGTTACGAATTCAGATAATAAGATACAGCAGAAGACACTGGTAGGGAGTACTTACTACGTCACGGAAACAGATGGTGTGACTGTACCTACAACGGTATATGGAGCAGCGACTACAGTCACTGAAACCGATGGAGATGTCGTGACAGTCACCATGTACTCTGAATTGACAGTTTTGACTGAGGCTGATGGGGATCTCACTACTTCTCTGCGAAGCCAATCGAGAAATGGAGCGGGTGAAGCGACGACTAGTGCTGGGACACCAAGGTATGAGCATCTCTTTTCAGGTAGATAGCTATTAAAAGTACTGACAGAATCTAGCACGTCCTCAAACCCTTCCAGTACAGTAAACCCTTCTTCTTCAACCGCGTCTTCCTCTTCGATATCGAGTACGGGCTCACCAACGGTAGCAACATCATCTTCTCCGAGCTCCACCTCAGTCTCCACCTCATCCTCATCTACCGGCGGAGCTGGCGGTGGAAGTAGTTTTTCCGGAGAAGGAACATTTTATACCCCCGGTGTTGGGTCATGTGGTACTGATAATTCAGAAGCAGAATTTGTAGCAGCTTTGAGTAGAGTGCTTTTTGACGCTACAGGAATAGCAAATCCTAACAATAACCCTTATTGTGGTCGTAGAGCATTGGTGAAAGCTGCAGGATCCGGATCCAGAAGGCGGCTACTTCAGAGAGGAGCCATGACTGAAGCAGAAACCACGAGGACATTTTATACGGGCAATTCTACTTGCAGCAGGAACGAGTTATTGGAAAGCAGGAGTCAGAAAGAAAGCAGGAGGTTGCGAATAAGGTCGCAATTGGGAATAGGCCCGGAGAGGCCTTTGAAGCTATCGCCGCGTCTAGGATCCCCGAGTGGGCATATATTGCCAACGCCAGTCATCATGCAAGATTCATCAAGCGCAACTCTAATAGCGCCGCCAATGATTACCCCTCCACCGCCAAATCGTAGCATAGACATATATAAACGACAAGCTGGGGGCGGCGGTGTTACGGTAACAATAGTTGACAGATGCCCTGTCTGTGCACAATATGATTTGGATTTGAGTCCTGCTGCCTTCGATGTCATTGGAGATCAGGATGCGGGAAGAATCGCAATCGAATGGAGTTGGTTGGACTGAGACATCGGATTGGAAATGATAGGTTTTAGAATTGTCAAGCCAGCTCAAGAGGTTCGACATCTACGCCTGGAATACTCCTGCGTATATGATTTCCTATTTTTACAAAGGGGTTTTGTTATTAAACGCTATGATGGGTATTTTTGGGGTTGTTTTGTGTATTTCACTAGACATTTTGGTGCAACTAGATGAAGGTTGCATGTTGATGTCGTTTTAGAGCGTTTGACAACCCTTTTTACCTTCTATGGTGTTGTTTATTCTACATGGTATAATAGTGGGCAAGCAGTGTTGAATTAGAGGTTTTTTCTTGATCCGTTGATCATTGGCTTTCTGCGATCTGATATATGAACCTCATGAACAACAGTCCAGATGGGATTTATTTTGTTAATTCCCAATATGAGTGTGCACGATATCTTTTGATTGAAGCTGCTATGAATTGAGACCTACTATACCTAAGTGCGATCAATACTCTTGGTAGTACTTTACCTGCAGGATTTGTAGTCAACCCTAACCCACGATTATGGATTCTCGTGACATCATAAAAGTGGTTTAAATACCTCACAGTCTTGTATCAAGGTTTTTAGCATATTCTTCACCCAATTCACAAAAAAAAATTCACCTCCAATTAGCCCGCCCAAAATGCCCATCAAGATCCTCGTGATAAACCCCAACTCCACCGCCTCCATGACGGGCTCCATCGTGCAACTCCTCACATCCATAACGCCCCCCGACGTCGTCTTCGTACCCTTCACAGCGCCCGCGCCTGCCCCGCCGTCCATCAACGACTCGGCCGACTGCCAGACGTCCGCCGACGTCGCGTTGCCACTGCTCCTCCCGATCCTCGACGACTACGCTGGTTTTATTGTTTGCTGCTACAGCGAGCACCCGCTCGTGCCACTACTCAAGTCGCACACCTCTAACCCGGTGGTCGGGATTTTCGAGGCGTCGGTGACGGCGTCGCTGCATCTGCTGCGCCCGGGACAGAAGTTTGGGATTGTGACGACGGGGAGGATCTGGGAGGAATTGTTGGGCGCGGGTGTGCATAGGTTTTTGGGGGGTGCGGGGGAGGGCGTGTTTGCGGGAGTGGAGAGTACGGGGTTGACGGCGGTGCAGCTGCATGAGGTTGCGAAAGAGGAGGTGGAGAGGCGGATTGGGGAGGCGGCGGAGAGGTTGTTAAGGAGGGGGGATGTGGGCGTTGTGTGTTTGGGGTGTGCGGGGATGGTGGGCATGGGGGAGGCGGTGGGGAAGGCGGCGGCGAGGGTGAAGGCGGATGTTAGAGTTGTGGATGGGGTTGTGGCGGCGGCGGGGGTTGTGGTGGGGTTGGTGCGGGGGATGTGGGCGTGAGGGGATTGGGGATGAGGGGAGGGGAGTTATTTGTAGCTAGGTTGTAGGCATGGATGGAGTGGGCATCTGGGCCGGGGTGCTGCTGGATGGAGAGCTTTTGGTTAGGTTGTTTTAGCTTCACGACTTAGCACTCAGAACTGGAATCGAGCTAGCATTCAACTTGTTTTTGCCGTTGATGACTTTATTTGTAATATCGTTACAGTGAACTAAAAAAGAAACAACTTAACCACTCCAGTCGCTTGTACAGTTTAAAACCCCGTTATACAAAAAAAGAGACCCATTGCTTCCTCCCATGATATTACGCGCCGTTAAAAGAGTGTATGTTTCTATCCGTGACAATATTGTGCCTGATAACTACTGAATCAGTTTCCGATCGCTCAATGAATTTTTAGAGACAAGAAGGGAGTGCTAACCGTCTACCTGAAGCAGTTGAACCCGCAGCAGCTAAACCTAGCATTGGGCCTGACGCCGTGTCTGTTGGCAGAGAAGCCGAGCCCGAAACGACGGCCGCCGGTAGCTTTTGAGTAGGTGAAAGGCATTGTTGTAGTAGTAGATTTATTTGGTAGTAGAGGTATAAGTAGTCTTTGATATGTCAGTTGATGTCCTAAATCCAAAGAGTAGAAGAGGTGAATTTACAGTTTATGTTTAGTATTCGAGTTAATGTCTGATGGAGATCACAAAGAAAAGCCAGTGCCAAAAGCTTAATACTTATACCTTTTTTGCCCCCGTCTTCCCTTTGTATTTCACCGCGCCCTGGTTGGTGCCAGAGCCCTTTACTTTTCTTTCAGGGAACAAAAAAAAAATCAGGAATTCCCTACTATGAAACTCTGGGCGTACCGCATCGCATTGTGGCTTTATGACTTTACAGGCTCTCAGCTACTCTCTCGTCATGGCGTGTTACAAATGACATCACAGGTCGCCACACTGTGGCTGGGCTCGTGGCGCAGCAGATGGTTACATTACTGCCAAGAGGTTGGATTTGGCCGAAAAGGGTCTTGGCGGTGGAGGGAGGTATTTGAGGAGATCTTCGCGGTTTTTTTTCTCCCTTGAACTTTTCGCTGCTCCAACCTCTTTTTTTCTCATCACCAAGTTTGCGCCATGACAACTAACAACGACAAACAGTGAACAGTCACTAACAGAATGGTATGTTATTCCAATTCTTCTCTTATTGTACTCTGCGCAATGCCCCAAACATCTTATGATGATTACCAAAACACAATGCATAGTTCAACTGAGGTCTACTAGCCAATGTTGATAAAATAAGCCATCGTCTTTCGCTCCTATCTGATCCTTCCTCTCATCTAATCACTTCACAATCTCGCACACTGTTTCATGTGAATGAAAGCTAACATTGCGCGAAAAGATTTATAGATTTTATCGCATATGAAATGAGGGGTCGTCATCATCATCATCCTCACGTGGCCTTGGGGAAGTTTGCGCCCGCCCTGTCTGTCCACCACGAGGAAGCGGGGAACATTATACTACGGGGATTTTCAATTTTCCCCGCAAGCGGAAGATCTCCATTCTCTCGTTGGCGCGAAGGGGGGGCTTATATTTCTAGAAATAATAATAATAAAAATTGATATACACCATGTTGTCTTAACCCGCGTGAGTTCGTGCATAACAGTGAATTTCACGAGCCAAACCTGAAGATCTACAGTCGAGAATGAATGTTTCTCATGTTGCGGGGTTACTTTGTACTTACCCCACGTCTCGTGCCTCGCTCGATCACATCTTTTGATGATATGACCTTGAGCTGGATTACCCTTGTGCCTTGTGCTCATGTGGTTTAAGTAGACAAGACTGAAAATTTCGTTGCTTTTTGAGTACGGCTCTGCTAGGGAATCTCCATAGATGGTGGGGTCGTAATTGTCGACGAGATATCTCAAAATCTCTCTCTTTTCTTATTTCCTTTCCTTGCAGATATGAGGCTGCTACATTTAAGCCTACATATCTGTATCTAGAAAAGAAATCCTCTGTGGGGGGAAAAAATAAAAATACATATGCAGGGATTCGCATCGCGCTCAACGATGACGAAGGTGAAATGATCGCAGAACCTAGATTTGCCCGTAACACAGAAACGAAATACCCGAACAAACCCGTTGGTTCGTTCATCCGTCGTCAATTCCATCGCCCCCATCATGGCCATGCGGGAAGTGTGGGAGAGTCCTGGAGAGCTAGAGCAGAGAGAAGTAGCGGGGGGTGTCCTCCCAATCAAACCGGATCTCATCTGGGCGAGTAAAACCCGGAAACGAGATCTTCCTCTTCCTCTAGCCACTCACTTGATCCAACTTTGTATCTAGATAGAGGTGTTACGAGTTTCTATCGAGCAAAAACCCATACTCGCCCCGGTATTAGTAATCATCATTCCAGGGCATCTACCAGGATGTAGACAGCTGATTAGGCTGACCCTCCCCCCGTTTGCTCGATAGAAACTCGTAAGCTCCCGCCTGTCTCTGATAACCGAACTGTAGGTTCACTGCTACTCCCTGTACCTCCGTCGGGAGCCAAGGGTGCACCTAGAGTAGGGATTCTGGGGAGACCGGCTATCAGGGTTCCCTATTTCTTACTCGATCAAAAGTCCTAACTGGACGTAGATAGAGATAAGCCTCAATCAAGGCATGGGGGGTGGGTGTGTGATAAGCTGGAGTAGTTAGAAGTTAGAGTTCCTAGTCTGGTTACAGAGTCTTCTTGGTCCTGTCTTGTCTCGTCTGGTTTTGTTTCGTCTCACAGGTAGTAGGGCTAGGTAGACTCAGTAGAAGAGCACGAGACAACAGCTTTCCCCGTGACAGCTCTATAGACAGCTTATCGTGTCGTGTCGCGTGGAACGGGTGTGCCTAGGAGATTAGTTTAGTTTTGAGCGTGGGCAGTGGGAGTAAGCGATGCTAGCTAGGTAGATAGATGGATCCTCCGGGCTGTTATCTTTGTAGTTATCTAGGCTGCGCTCCCCGGGTGGTGCAGTGAGGATATCGATATCTACATCCTAGAGCCCCTCGAGTACGATACGGAGTTTTTCTGGCTGGGGGTAGTTTTGTTTTTCCTTTTTGATTTTTTCCTACTCAACTATTTGCCTCTACGAGCAGCTCGGCGAATCAGATCACTGTTTTGTTTCTCATAGGCCTGCAGCAAACTACCCCAGGAAAACAGGACCGCTTCAGTAGTAGTAGATCTTGGTACTTTCTTAGCAGGTATGATGGGATGCATAGCATAGCATTGCATAGCGATCTTTTATTTTTTACACTTTCCACCCTCCGAGATTAAAGTATGGTACTAGCCGGTATATAAGTAGTTGGCCCACTCCCTCCCCATGATGGCATCTTCATCCTCATCATCATCCTCCTCCTCCCCACCACCACCCTCTTCGACAGCTCGCGCACTTGAGGGAGAACCATTGCTCGGGTATAGACGGCCACACACGATGAGCGCAAAAACGAGACTGGGAAGGCTTGTGAAGAGGCTGGAGACGGAGCATGAGGAGGGATTGACGAATGCGCAGTTGATGCTGACGAATGATGATTTGAAGCCTGGTAGGATTTCCTCTTTCTTTTTTGATTTCTCGTATTGCAATTACCTACCCTATCGGCCTTGCCTTGCGGATATGACTCGGGGTGGGCTGTTATTTCTTTTGGATTGGTTGATTAGTGGTTCGTGGTGGATGGTGGTGGTCGTGTTACTATCTACTGGAGTTTGAGTGACTTCGATCTAGAGAAACATCACGCTCCTAGCTAGTATATACTCGGGGGATGGCAATTGGAATGTTGCGGGGGGAGAAACAGGTTAGAGTGGGCCAAGGGTTTGGTTGTGGTTATTGTTACCATTACCGGCTGTTATCACCGGTGATATATTGGCAGCGTTGCGACAACCTTCGGTGATTACTTGCATGCAGATTGGATGGATTATTGCTTTTTGCAACTGTTGAACAAGAAAATAATGTCTCAAAGTCAGCTCCCCAGCTAACATTCTGGTGTTCCTACAGTTGAGCCTGCGCGGAGGACATGGGGTCCATGGAACTTTGTCGGTTTTTGGATTGCCGATTCATTTAATATTGTCAGTATTCCCTCTTCTCTTTTTTGTTTCTTGCATTCCTCGAGATTAGTAGGCAATATGAAGGAGCGTAAATTGACTGGGAAATTGTGTTCGCCTGCTTGCAGAATACATGGATGATCTCCTCCTCGATGATCATCGCCGGTCTCTCCTGGTGGCAGTCATGGCTTTGCGTCTGGATCGGTTACTTCTTCGCTGCAAGCTTCATTTGTGCCACTGGCCGCATCGGCGCAACCTACCATATCGGCTTCCCCGTCGTCGCGCGCTCGTCCTTTGGAATCTGGGGCTCCCTCTGGCCCGTCTTTAACCGCGCCGGTATGGCCTGTGTCTGGTACGGCGTGCAGTCCTGGATCGGGGGTGAATGTATCTACCTCATGATACGCTCGGTCTGGACGGCGTTCGAGGATGTGCCAAATACGTTCCCAGACAGTGTGGGCACGACGACAAAGTACTTTGTCTCGTTCTTTATCTTTTGGTTGATATCGCTGCCGGCGATTTGGTTCCCTGTGCACCAGATCAGACACCTATTTACGTTCAAGGCGTTTGTGGTGCCTATTGCTGGCTTTGCGTTCTTTGGGTGGAGTGTGCACAAGGCCGGCGGGTTGGGCCCCATCGTGCACCAGCCGAATACTGTTCATGGGAGCACTCTGGCATGGGCCTTTGTGAGCGGCATCATGAGCTCAATTGCGAACTTTGCGACGTTGGTTGTGAATGGTGAGGATTGGTATCAATGATTTCTGATCGGGTTTTGACTGACGGTCGATGGTAGATCCTGATTTTACTCGTTTTGCGACTAAACCAAGCGACTCGCTGTGGTCCCAGCTGATTTCAATTCGTAAGTCCGGCTTTATAGTGAGATTCTCTCCTTTGAGCATCAATACTAACAAGCTTCCAGCCTGCTCGTTCGCCCTGACCTCCTTCGTCGGCATCATTGTCTCCTCCTCCTCAATGGTAATCTACAAGGAGGCCATCTGGAACCCCCTCTCCCTCCTTGAGCGCTTCGTCCAAGAAGGCGGCTCCGGCAACCGCGCCGGCGTCTTCTTCATCTCCGCCGCCTTCGCGCTAGCCCAACTTGGGACCAACATCGCCGCAAACTCCGTCTCGGCGGGCTCGGACACCACCGCACTCCTCCCCCGCTTCATCAACATCCGCCGCGGCGGCTACCTCTGCGCAACCGTCGGCCTCGCAATGTGCCCGTGGAAACTCCTGTCGACGACCAACAACTTCACTCTGTATCTCTCCTCGTACTCGGTCTTCCTCTCATCCATTGCCGGTGTCATGCTTTGTGACTACTATGTGGTCCGCAAGGGCTACTTAGAGATCCGCTCGCTGTACACGGCGAGAAAGTCGGCGCCGTACTACTATACGTACGGTATCCATTGGCGTGCATATGTGGCATACGTTGCTGGCATCTTGATCAACGTTGTTGGCTTTGCGGGCGCTATTGGCAGGAAGGTACCGATTGGGGCGACGTATATATACAATGTGAACTTCTTTGCCGGGTTCCTTGTTTCGTCGGCCGTCTACTGGGGGCTCTGTAAGGTATCGCCAATCCCGGCCTGTGCGGAGACGTGGACAGAGGTGGGTGATGAGATCACGGAGGTGAGATTGGCGGAGGATGATGGTGATAGCAGTGGATATGATGTTGAGGGAGGGAGGAAAGAGGAGGGGAAGGGGGAGAGGTGCATAGGCAGGGATATGGCACGGATGCTTATTAGTTAGGGCTGGCGTTTCTTTTTTTCTTTTTCTCACTTTACTTACTTTTGATGCTAGTTGATGATCGGTACCACATGTATCTTGGATTCTTTCTTTTCTTTTGTTTATTGGGATGATCTGCCTTTATGTTGATCGAGGAGATGTATGAGTACCCGTAGTTGTAGACCCTTGCGGCGCGAGTTGATAGATCTAGATCTATTTAGTGACGAGAATGGCATAGAAACCATTGAGATTTAAATCTTGCAAGGCATGACCACGATAATAATATGTAGAGTAGAGCGAATGACCTTCCCAGCTAGTTACGGGGGTAGGTAGGGTACATATATGTACCTGGAACAGCAGCTCCCCACTAAGATCATCTGCGCGCCAGCACACTTACACTAAACTCCACAGATCCCTTAATTCGGGGCAATTTGCGTCTCACCACACAAAATCCGGGGCTAGCTGTAAGTGAGTGTCAGTCGGCGGTGCAGGATTGACCTACTTGTGGCTAAAGTAAAATTGCTTAGATCGTGGTATTGAAATATGAGAATCTTGGCGCAATGTGGAAATGCCTCGAATGTTGGCGATAGGGGATGTAGAGTTGCCTAACCAAGTACATGATCCCATCTCGGCGTAGAGCCTTGAATATCCAGAATGGGTGAAATAACTATTGGCTTGTCGACATCACTAGACGTAACTTCATGGATTCTCATTCGGTACGTCACTAATCGTGATGTGGAGTTTATGCATTGCGTTAGAACTCTAATATTCCCATCGAGACGGGCGACGGTCTATGCCTTGTTCGTTAATAAACCTATCCACTTCACCTTATCGTTGCGCATGCGCATCAGAACTCGGGTCAATCATAAATACAATACTGTAGCTAATCCAATCCAATCAGGTAAATAGTGCATCATGTCACAGGCGGGAAGGTCATGCTGTGTAACCCGCACGGAATGACTCATCCTATTTACTTGACTTCCCACAAAATGGCCAGATGTAGATATAGATACATCGTACTTTCCTGATTTGGTATTTATTCGTTGTCCACTGCGTTGTTATTTCCTTATCAGGTTCTTATTAGTGAAGGATAAACTCGCATTTGAGTTACTGTTACCGGTTCGCCATTGACCCAGAAAGGACCATTCGCTAACAGGGGTAGCTCGCTATCTGCACAGCCCCCTCGATGACTCTTACCCCAACGTGCAGACGAAGGAAAGAGTCATCGCAAGTGTGTAGTGCGTAGATCGAGCACCTGACTCCGCGTCGCGCGAACAGTGAGAAACACGCTCGACGCGACTTCCCAAATAAAAAGCCAGTCGCGCCGCGCAATTATGGAGACACCAAAATTCACATCTTGTGGCATTCTCTCTGCTCACCTTACATTGGAAAGAAATCCGCGTCTCTCTTGCCCCCAAGTGATCTCTCTGCTAGATCAGCTACCCTCAATTGAAATACCTAGCTTGGCCTACACCACAGGAACTACCAGCGCACCGCTACCGCCCCATTGAACAATCAAGCGCATTGCGATTCCGCAACCATTCCCATTTTGAAACTTTTCTAGAATCCAATCGATTGTTTTGAGAGAGGATATTTATCGCACAATGGCAAATCCACTCAGCAAGTTTACTATAGCTGTTAGCGGCTCACAGAAAGGATATACTCAAGGTAAGATTAACAAAACAACCAGGGTTTGTTGTGTATCTAACTCGCCTCTTAATCTAGTAAATCTCGAGTCTTTAATAGCTAGCAATGGAGGAGCTTTCGTAAAAGCCATTGAGCCTGGAACCACTCATCTCGTTACTACCCAGGCCGACGTAGACAAGCGGTCCGCAAAAGGTGCCACAAGAACCGATTGGAGAATTGTCCTCTGCGATTAAGTTTATATTACTGACTTATTGTCTTTGCGAAAAATAGTACGATCTGCGCAAGCTTCTGGTATACACGTCGTATCACTCGACTGGCTTCTTGAATCCATTGAGTCCAAGAAAGCTCTCGCGGAAACGGGTTATGTCTTTGGTTCTATTCAACCAGCCCCTACCACTACCACAGTTGCCGGAAAGTCGGCGGATGGCTCAGATCCTGCTCAACCTCCTAGAAGGATGTCCAAACGTACCGCATCTAATCTGAAGGATATGGCAAAGAATGAGGACCAGGAGGAAGAAAAGCCGGCGCCCAAGAAGACAAAAGGTAGCCAGGGCAAGAGCAAAAGGAACGAAGACCAAGATGTGGATATGGAAGACGCACCCCCGAAGGCGGCAGATGGAGTAAAGACAGTCAAGGGGGAGGATGAAGAGGACACTAAGGACGCGGCAAAACCGGAGGAGAAAAAGGCCAAAGCTTCGACAAAAGGCAAGGGAAAAGCCAAGAAGGAGCCCACCCCAGAGCCAGAGGAAGTAAAGCCTAAAATGAAGACTGTGATAAAGAAAGGCAAAGCTCCAGTCGACGAATACTGTCCATTAGCCAGTATGTTTCCCTCGATCTTTCTGGGTCTGTCCGATAAGGCGCTCTTGCTTACTATATTCGATCGGTTCTATAGACAGAGTCCATGTTTATGTGGATGGAGCTGGCGTTGTTTACGATGCAACTCTTAACCAGACTGACATTGGGAATAATAACAACAAGTTCTACTATTGCCAGGTAACAGATTTCGAGGCCTTGGATTTAAATGACAATGACTGATATATTATGAATTTGCTGTAGCTGCTCGAGTCGGATCCGAACATAAACAAATCCTACAGTTACTCTGTTTGGGTTCGCTTTGGCCGTGTTGGCGAGAGAGGGCAAACAAAAATGTATGTTGAGGATGTGAGTCACTCTCAGGCTCTATCAGTATTCCAGAAACAGTTCAGGAGCAAAACTGGTCAGCCTTGGGAAAACCGTGCGGATGCCCATGGTGGGCCTAAAAGATATGCATTCTTGGAGAGAAATTATGAAGAGGCCGAAGAAGAGGATGCAGATGAGGACGCTGGAGGTTCGGCCGGAGGGGAGGCCGCAAAGCTAGTGAAGAGTAGCTTGGCTAAGCCCCTTCAAAACTTGATGCAGTTGATTTTCAATACAGATATCATGTATGTTGTATCCACCCCTCTGGTTTTTCTTACCCAGGCTTTCCAGAATATATCTAATCTCTTTCCAAAGGCAACAATCCATGGCGTCTATGTCTTATGACAGCAACAAACTCCCTCTCGGAAAGTTATCGAAGGAGGTTATCTCTCGTGGATACCAAACTTTGAAGGACATCGGTGAAGTCATTGAACAGAAGCCTGGCTATCTCCAAAAGTTCTCGGATTTTGGTAGCAACCGCGTGGAAATCTTAAACCGCTTATCCAACAGATATTACACTGTCATTCCACATAGTTTTGGCAGAAACGTCCCCCCTGTCATCGATAGCGGCCCCAAACTAAAGAGGGAGGTTGAGCTGATTGAGAATCTCAGTGATATGGCTCTAACAACCAAGATAATGAATGATACGAGAGTTGCTAGCACTGACGGCATTCATCCGTTGGATAAACAATTCGGTAGTCTGGGTCTTAACGAAGCTATTCCCCGTATGTTCCCTATGTTCCCTATGTTCCTACCTTGTCTATTGCTAACAGAATCAATGGTTAGTGGATAAATACACTCCGGAGTTCAAGAACCTCGAAGCCTATGTTAAAAAGACACAAGGAAAGACTCATCGCATGAACTTGAAAGTGGAGGAAATCTTCCGTGTTACCCGCTCAGTAGAGGAGGAACACTGGCAAAACGCTGGCTGGGACAAACTTGCTTCTGATAATCGTTATCTTCTTTGGCACGGTTCCAGAACAACCAATTTTGCGGGAATTCTAAGCCAAGGGTTGCGTATTGCCCCGCCAGAGGCACCAGTGAATGGTTATATGTTTGGTAAAGGCATATACCTTGCTGATATCGTTTCCAAGAGTGCAAACTACTGTTGCGCGGGAGTCAGTTCTTCCTTTTCTCCCTTTACGAGTCTGCTTCTTCATGTGACGGTAGAGCTTTTTCTAACGTTTCTTCTTAATAGTCTTCTAATAACACAGGACTCTTGCTCCTTTGTGAGGCACAGCTTGGTGACCCCATGTTTGAATTAAATGGATCAGATTACAATGCTGCCCAAAACTGCGCCAAAGCAAATGCGCTCGCTACCAAGGGACTTGGTCGATCTGTGCCTCTTAAATGGGAAGATGCTAGTGTGGTGAATGAGAGCTTAAAAGGGGTTAAAATGGTCTGTTCCGCTCTTTACAGTTCTTTTGGGGCTTAGTTCTGATTTAAGTAAATAGCCTGCGGTTACTGCGCCCGAGGCCAATATTACAGGAGATGATCCTACCATAAAACAAGGAAGCTATCGATCTTTGCAGTATAACGAGGTATGTACTCACTTAGGGGGGCTTATGACTTCGTTATCTTTGCTGACTTCGCGATAGTACATTGTATACAAAACGAGTCAGGTTAAGATCAGGTATCTTTTCCGGTGCAGGTTCAATTAGCCCATATATATGCCTTTGTTGGCATATGCGAGGGAAAACTGAGTTGATTTCTCTGTTCAATGCGTTCCCTTATAATTTTGTTTGTTCGTTTTATGAGTAAACCTTTCTGTAAAATAAATAATGCACACTTTTTGGTTTTGAAAAGGCCTTGATAGATACATTAAGCACATCCACTAGCTCAAACGGGCGACTTATACGATACAGCGGCTCACTCTTGTACAGTATGGAGGCATCAACTGGGACTGATTTAAACTTTCTAAATGAGATATAAGTCATCATTCAGTCTCTTTGCAAATTACTGTCCTGCCTGGTTGTGAAAGGGGGAAAAATAGCCTTAAGAGTGTGTCTCCGTTCACCGCTTGGTTCCTCGCCTGTCCCAATAATTGGAGTATTCAAAGTCGATTAAGTGGGTGAAACAACTCATAGAGTTGTCGGCACCGCTAGCTAGTAATTCGACAGTACATTTATGGATTCTGGTTCGGAGCTAATGACGGAGGATGAATGTTGACAAAGGGCTTGGCTAGCTTGCTGGCAAATAACTACATGTACATGTACATGTTAACCATTGTGCACCACCGTCTTGTCTATTCCCAAGCCTAGGACTTCTGACTACATGTACTTACATGATGAAACTGTAAGAGCCCATCTGGCACATTCACAGCAAAAGCTCCAGATATATATCTGCAAGTATGGTACCTATCTAGCGTGTCCCCGGAACGGTTAGTTCGGGCCCTGCGTGTTCAGATTCGTCTGTTCGATGCTCTGTATATAAATGGATGGATAACCTCAACCGTTCTACCTAAAATCTATTATCGGAGTTTGCCAAATGCCAAGGCATCTGCTGCCAGCCAAAAGGATGTAAAAGCCTTTCAACACCTTTCCCCCGAATGCTACCAATCCAACACGATTACAAGAGAACCCACCATGGAATCTCTGCCAGTTGAGCTGGTTGAGAGGATACTTTCCCTTGCAAATCTTTCACACGCTGAGAACCTATCCTGCAGGCTTGTGTGTCGAGGATTCTGCTCGATTGTCAGTCCCACGGCCTTTAGCCGCGTACGGATCTCAAAGCTCGCCCGAGACGCCTTTGATGGGATCGTGAATCTTTCGCAAAGCCAGCTTGCTTCTTATGTAGTGGAGTTTGAGTATAAAGTCATACGTTTTATTTCATCGAGTACTTATATGTCCCAGCCATTCGCCTAGGGCGCATGAACAATTGGCTAATTCAAGACGGAAGAGGATATCCATGACGTGGACTCACTCATACAATTATCGGACGAATCTGATACGCTCTCAATTCAGGATATGGCCAATTCCCTAGTGGAGCACCACAAAAACCATCTCCATCAAGTAGATGTTCTCGGGACATTTTACGATATTATCTCTCTCTCGAAAGCCTTGCCAGCATTTACGAACCTTAAGTCTGTTACCATCTCTACTTTCGATGGCTCATTTGAACTCCCCCCGCCACTTGGAGTCGCAGAAGCGACAACACGTGCGTTTTGGGCTGTCATCAAGGCACTCAACAGCTGCGCGTATCAGATTGAATCATTCAGTGTCGATTCGGTCTCCAAACTAAGCATTCCACCATCGAAGCTGGCACAGATTCACGAAATATTCGAAGGCTTGACTCATCTTTCGATTGGAAGCGTATATGGACAGCGGAGTTATAACTTCCAAGAAGACATTCTCGCTAGAACACCCCAACTACAGACCTTACGATTAGGTTCAGACGGCCGCGGATCCTGTGAATGGCAAGATATTCTTAGGGATCGAATAGGCACTGGGCATCTCTACTGGCCTCACTTAAAGGTTTTGGAAATGGACGGGGGAGTATCAGGTCGGGTTACGATTCAGCAGAAAGGATTGGTCAGATTCCTAACATCGCACCAAAATACCTTGACTGATTTGTCAATTAAACGGTTTGTTCTCAGAGATATTTATATGACTGGCCAAACAATGTCATCTGATTGGTGCTTCGTCATTGGAAGATTGAAGACCTTTCCGGTATTGAGAAAGTTGGTTTTGAGAGAATTAGGAGAGTTCGTGGTCGCAGATCGCGGCTGTAAGTGGATTGAGGAGGAACAACTTTTGGAATGGGAAAATTTGGTTAGAAAGAAACAAGGACAGACCTCGTCGGCGTCGGCGTAACGTTTCTCGTTTACACACATGGGGTGGTTTTATGTAAAGTAATAAATACCTGGGCCTGATTATACCAAGAAAACTTATTTATATATCACTTGAGATTTGTTAGACTTGGAACATCGGGGAATAAATAGTAAGTGCTAGAGACTGATAATACACGCAGTATACATAAATGGGCTAACTACGTGTAGGTAAAACCCCTGCCAGAGAAATCTTCGAGCTCTCATTTGCCATCAATAATCATCACTCTATCTGCCTTTACGACAGATAGGAGGTGTCCACCCAGCTGGTGTAGGACGATCCAAGAATAGTTGAAATGCTGACAGCAGCGGACAAGCTACCAGAAAAGCTGGCCTATTGAGGTGAAATTTCTGTGTCAGTAAAGCTATGAGGTTCTATCAGTGGATTTGAACATACACGAGTTCCACTGGCACCAGTTCCGGTATTCCCAAACTCTTTGTAATAGACATATTCGGTATTCGCATCTGAGCTGCTCCATACACTCCATCCGGCTGAGTTTATGACGGCTGAGAGGGCGGAATTTTGAAAAACGACCCTCGAATAATCACGCCAGGGTCTTCCTAGGTACTGTGTACCAGCAGTAACAGTATATCCAGACGCTGCCTCGACGGTACTGGATCATTCAAAAATTGGTCAACGTCTGTAAAGGTCAATCAAACACCGGAACAATTGTTTTATACCATTTGTTAAAAACGTAGTATGATACGTTACTCTCCGAATCACGGCCATTGGCTGTTACCCAACCATTGGCTTTAACACGAATATCGACACCGTCAAACCAAGCCCTTTGTCGTTGACCGAAGATAAAGTCGCTGAATTTAAATTATGGGTTAGTAAGCTCCCATTTAAAACTTCGGAGGCATGCTATATATATAAGAACTCACGTTGCACCGTCTATGTAACTTTTGGCGTAGACCGCAAACCCTTCATTTGCGAGAACGGTATCTAAGAAAGTATGCGAGGTTAGTTGAGAATATTCAAGTGATAAACTTCTCAAAAACGATATGTAGTTACTCACCTTGGTAGCCTGTCAACTTTAACCCATAGAAACCCTGCTGGTCACCCTGGGAGCTCAATGCAACAGCCTGCGATCCCTTCCCTATTGATAAATATTTAGCAGCGATAGGTATAAACTTCATCAACCTCAATACACACCTCTTGTGTTGGCAATGTTGATATTATAGATCTTCAACCCAACTGCAAAGGCACGGATAGTAGCTGTGGCGTCATTGTTGGCCGAGTCGTCCTGACTCTTCCCTGGGTAATAGTCACAGTGTTCGATGTATACGAAGTTGTATCAGTTGTTTGTCCGTATATCGTAAGTAGTGCAGCTCGAGCCGGAATGTAGACTTGTTCTGCATATGTTCCAGCATAAATGAAGATACATTGAGCTGCCGAGGAAGTCGTGGACAATGAACTAACGGCCGATTGAAGCTATAAAATGTATTTCTGGTCAAACCCATTTCAACGCTGACAGTGGGGGCATGGTGTGGGATATCGTAAGCACGTACTGTAGAGTATTGACCTGAAGTAGCGCTAGGTGAGACGACTATGCAACCAGTGGGCGGTGAGGTTCTTGATGCAGCAAGTACCAACTGAGCGAACGCTAGAAAGGCAATTTGTGAAAACATCATTTTCGGCAGCTTATTTTATCTTCTGTGCTTAATGAATCTACTGACAGAAACGAGAATTGGCTCCTTTTATAGTTCATCCGTTCACCTAGCAGCCCTCTCTACATTTGACCTTGGGGAGAAACGTTCGGAAGCCTATCCCGACATGGAATGAATATATATCGGGAGGTTCCTCCTAACCCGAGGCGATCTACCCTAGATTCAAACCCCGTGAGGCCAAGAATTAATAAGTGGAAATTAAGCATCCCCCAGTGCACGTTATCTGCAGTGTTTTATGTTTTGTGGGGTACCTATTCAATACTTTTCAACCATGGTTCTTCTACCAAGGTATGTCCTTTTGTGTCTCAAGTACACACTTAAGGTACTGAGCGCGGTCATAGTTGTCTCAAAGCATAGCCTAATCCATCCTTGGCATTTATTTGATCCGGATGGAAGAATCAACTGTGCCGGTACTCGTTGTAAAACAGGGTGTAATTGATACCGAGGTCGGTATTTCGCACAATGGTCGAAGCAATAGTAGACAATCTTATTGCTTTGTCATGCATCTAGCGGTCAAGCCACTTGTTTCAAAACATGCCTCTCTCGTATATCCCTTCGTCTGGCAAAAAATGCTGACCCCCCCAAAAAAAGCAAACTTTTGTGTGGCTTTACTAACAGATCCTGTTGTCTCTCTTATCAAATAATAGATCTCCCATACAAATTTAATTCCTCTATTATAGGGGGGTCAGCATTGCCAGACTAAGGGATAAAAATCCCGATAAGACCTAGCCTATTACTACATGAAGCATTCCATAAGCCCTGTTATCTCATATCATAGCTCCTCACTCGGTACGTCATCATCTTAAATTTCCAGGATTGGAACTGTTCCACGCGTAGTTTTGGTCAGTACTTCCACAAACCTTTCAAGTATATTCAAGTTTTATACCGACAGGCTTCATGATTTTAGCTGAGCTATGTATAAAGAATATGCTCCATAAATGTTCTAATTCCGGGATCTCCCCTGTATTTAGAGAAATTCATGGCCGTATTTAAGTTTTCAAACGAGGGCATGTAAATCAGAAATATTTAAATACAGTTTACAGTGATGACCGCTCCCCAGAAGGATCCTGAGAATTACATGATACTCAAGCTAGGAAATATTTACTCGTATGAAATAAAATAAGCATACTACTCACCGATCTCCAAGAGCGCTGCTACTTATACTTTATTTTTCAGTCATCCAACCCTTAAGTTCAACTGATCTAGTGTTTCATTAGCCCCGCAGTCATATGAGTGATATAGTGGCAGCTGTTAACTGTACATCATTAGATACAAGTGATAAACTACTTGCATCTGTGCATATAACAAGAGGTACCGTCCTAGCCGATTAGTCTCATGGAGAGCGTTAATATAGTTTTACGCGCACAAGCGCAAGAAATACGATAGGCCCCCAAACCACGAACACACGTACCTTGGAGAAACCCAGCTGCACATGTACTTACTGCAATCCCATAAAAGTTCATTTTTAGTGTCTACATATTACAACATGTGAACTTCGGATAAGAATTGGTATGAAAGCCGAAGCTCTCGGAGAAATGGTTTCCATGTATAAATAAGATGTGTGTTCTTGTATATATATGTACGTATTCAATTATAAATGAAATAAATTCTAAACAATCAAAGGCCCCACCTTAATTGTCTCCTGGAACTGATCCACAGCCCATAAACGCCCGCCTATCTTAGTACACGTGGCTGGCGTGGACGCATTGTGAATTCCAACCCACCCCATCTTCACACAGAGGCTCGTGGATATCCTGTTTTAGCGCAAGATTTAGTAGTATCAGCCGGACAGCCCTTTGCAGAAGTATAATCTTACACCACAAAATCTAATTAATAAACTCATTATCCTTGATAAGATCTTGGAGATTAAATTCTTCTAGTAGAATTAAGCTGTCGTACGACTTGTTCTAACCCATCTGTATGCCACATTCCAGAGTACTCAGTAAAGTCAACACTCTGAAATTTATCCACAGAGAAACACTCTGATCACATCAACGAAAGATACCCCAGTATCCAACAAATAGGTAGGCATTTTTTTCCACTTCCTCTCAATTACTCACCTAATTGATTTCACCAGCCGTGTCCTCTGACTAAACCTTTTCTTTGGAGTCTGTATAAATGATCCCAGAGAAGATTTGTAAGCCTATCCATATCACTTCTGCTGATAAGAATAAAAGCTACTGGTAGCGGGCACGAGAGGAGGGATTTCTGTTGAACGTGTGGTCTGGTCGTGCATCCAAGGGATAATGAAGAGGTTTTACAGTGAATAGTATTAATATACTAACGGATTGAGTGATACATGTAGTATTCACTAAAACTCTATATTAGGGCATCCTCAATGTTTTCGGCATACTTGCTGTTTCTAATGGTTGGTTGGGCAACTAAGGGCGAACCAGATGGGATTGGAGGAATCGGGCCTGATATAGGTGCTGACGCATTTAAAGTTATAGGGTTCTGTAACTGTGATCCTCAAGAAACACTCAAGGATGATTATTTCGATAGATGCGCAATTGTTGTGGTAAAGTGAAGAATCATTGTATATCACTCGTAGCTAAGCTTTTTGTATTACCTAATCTAAATTACTATATAGTCTTCCTCATCGTCACCAGGAACGTCTCCTATTGGTTACAGCGCACTACATGTATTTCTAATATTGATTGCATATCATGATTCGACAAAGAACTACTCCCGAGACGGAAGGGAACTGGCATTAAAAGGCGTGTAGCTATTGCAATTGATGGATATAAAAGAACAAACACTGACAGAACTACAGCTATATTTTTATATATGAAGGTCGAATTTTCCTGATATCATTTTATCATGAACTACATGTACATACTAACGCTACTCATTGAATGGCTTAGAGTGCATACTAGGGCTAATATATCACAGATTACATATAAGGAGAGATGGAGATAAGGTTTAGTGCATGCCTGTACGTTTTGATGACCCAATAATCCAGAATGACAGCAATAATCTAAGAAATTATTATCGCAGTACCGCCCGCACCTCATTTCTTCGGTACATTTGGGCGGCCGAAGGCCACACTCCGCTTGTATGGTATAGTGTAGTCTTGTCTATAGCGGCCGGCGAAAGTGGGTTCCCCATGACCCGATAGTCCTATTGGCCCTTAAAGGAAATTTTGCAGTAAGCACGGACCAAGAAGCCCACCCTTTTAGTTCTGACTTCCACAATAAATCTACCAAACTGTGTACCACGGGTAGAAGAAAAAAGAACCAAAGGTACTGCAACAGCGGCCCTTTACTAACCCCACTCCTTGAAGGTTCGAACCTAGGACCTCCAGGTCCTGAGCAAATACACAGTGTCTCACCCCACGTCGGGGTCTAAATCGTTACACCGCTCGCCCTTATTGGTACTGATGGGAAGTGATACTTAACCTTGGGGTGCCAAGATGAAGCGGAAACCCTAGCCCTTGAACTTTAAGACTTGATCCCTTCGTTTGTGCCCGCGATTTATATACACAGTCTGGTAGAATTATTGCGGAAATCAGAACTAAAAGAGTGGGCTTCTTGGTCCGTGCTTACTGCAAAATTTCCTTTAAGGGCCAATAGGACTATCGGGTCATGGGGAACCCACTTTCGTAATGGTTCCACCGGTCATTGTAGATTGTGATATTGAACCCACTACGAAGTACTGCTCAGCTCATGTTTCTTAGCATGTATGTGCTAATATACACTTACACTCTACCAATAGATTACGGCTGAGGTTCTCGGGCCCAAGATTTGTGGCTTCTTATCCTCGTGAAATTCACTACGGGAATGATGCACGTGCACTTGAAGCCTTGTACCTACAACTGCTATAATATACAGCTAACAGTACTGCTAGTAGTGGCCATTTATAATTCCATATATGAACATAAAAGATGACACAGTCACTGCATATAAGGTACAAATACGGGCATAGGAGAGAGAAGGGGGGGGGGGGGGGGCGGTGGTTGTGGCGGATGGATAAATTCGATATTACCAAATTATGACTAGCACGCATCGAACGGAATCCCATCAGCAAAGCACCATCTATGGAAAAGCCCGGATATGAAGATCTAAAGGGCTTAAAACTTCAAGCTGAAGAGAGACCGAAGGGCTCAGAAAGCTAGACCTGTGGGAAACCCAGAGGGCTCGTGAGAAGATGATCCCATCTGAGGTCTCAAGTGAAGTTTATATAGATAATCTAGTTTTTGACCGTTTTCTGATTTAGAGTTTTTATAAAGTGGAAAGCATAGATGAAGGAAAATTAAGCATGAAAAAGAACACCTCCTCCGATGTTAACGGGCATCTGCTGGGCACGTCAACATGGCCGTCCCCAGTCACTGCCTGTTATCCAAATCAAACTGCTCAAACGACCTTCAAGCGCCTCTATAGATTTTTCACCGTACCCTTAAAACACGCAGAAAGACACCATCTAAGACGACCTTTTCAGTCTCTCGCCAACAGTCTTGGTGACACCACCGGCAGCACCTTTGAACTCCCGGTCACACTCAGCGTATCCTCTACCAGCGCCGAATCCAAGACCAACCCAGGCGGGGAAAGCGCGGCGCTTGAATAGAAGGACTGAGAAGATGATACCGAATCCGGCACCGAGGGTAGACTTCACCAAGAGATTCGCAAGGCAGTGGTCCCACTAGTTGTGCCCAATTAGTAAGATTATGGGTGTTACTGTGGATAGAGCATGTCGTACTTTCTCATTGAGCAATCCCTCTGAGGCAGGGCGGGGCTTGGCAACTGTGTTGGAGGTAGTAGAGGTCATTTTTCGTCAAACTGCAGATTTTTTACCAAGTCAGTTAGTTGTCAAGATAACCGAGGAAATTGCCCGAGGCCCGGATCGCGAGTAACAGAGATAAATTTACCCTGGTACAATTATACAAATTCTGGACGAGGAGATTCAATTTGATCTGTACTTCGGTATGGCGGAATGCGGTGACGTGGGGGGATTTGAATGTCAAGGTAACTTATCGCACGAAGTCGGATGAAACTTGATGTTCCGAATGCCAAGAGTTGTGGCTATTAGTCATCAGAATTGCGTTGCTGGGAGGTTATGACTATGTTTTTGGATGCCAGGCGCACTGTTCATCACGCGATAAAAATAGACTTAAAGTGGGTGGAACTCACACATCTTAACTAATCTGCATGCTCCCTCATACTCACCTATTTAGGCCGAAGTTCAATCTCACCGGAGAATACTTCACCCATAAAACCATAAGTAGAGGGTACCCTAATAGTTACGGGGTCGACCACATAGTGTGCTGAGGCGAGTGGGGGCGACATGTGGAGTAAGACGACACTGTTCTCTTTCATCTAGAGTCTCACTCATCGATCCCTATTCCATTTGCCAATTAAAATAGAGTTATTCAGGAACAATACCAAGGATGCTGCCATGTCGTTCTTAAATTTACATGCATGCTCTCCCTATCTGCCGATGCGGTGGTCATTGGTTTGAACTTTCTGTTGAGTTCACTGTACCACATCCACAATTTCAAGATTCGATGCAGGTCCTCCGGTCGGTGAGTGACGACGGGAGAAAGTAAGTGTTTGATGAATCGAAATGCTTGGCAGTCTAGTATGCCCTGGCGAATAACGCTCGCAGTACAGGCATGCGAAGTATTAGAGTACAAGCTTATGCTAATAGCTTAGCAGAAAGAGCCTGCAGAGTTAATACGCTACAAGTACATGTAGTTATAATACTATACTTCACATGACCTTTTAGTAGCCCTCATAAGAATCTTTCCTATTTAAAGTACGTGTCGGCCCCATGGCCCATCATGATCACATATATAGGGCGGCGAGGGTCATCTATGCTCACTCGGCGGTTTCTACCCCACAACAGAATTAGCCAATGCAGGGCTTCCTCTAGCTACATGTAGTTCTTGGTGGCTGACATGTATATTGTAATATATCAAGTTTTTTACGCCTGAATTAAAACCGCTATGTATTCACATTGCTCAATGGTCAAGCTTAAGGAGTACTAGGCAGGAGTAATCAATTAATCATCTTCTTAGTCAATTGGTTGTTTAGATTTGGCAGTAAATAAAATAAAAAATAAAAAAAATACCACTATGAATTTGAGAGATCGAGAGATACAAAGAAAATCAAATAACACCACCAAAAAGACATTAACCGCCACCGCCTGCTTGACCAAGTCTATCGGTACCTTGCCACAGACCCCACCAATCAAGACCTGCTATACGTATGTGTATGTTACAAACCCCAAACTTTTAACTAGACAAATGAGAATGAATGAACGACCGCATGCACATGTATAGCCTACAACTTTGGCTGCCCGAGTTCCTTCTCCAACTCCTCCAATCTTCGGATGGAAGCCTCTTTGCGTATTTTGGCTTTCGCCATTTGTATATCCCGTTTTTCGATATCTTTCCGCAATCTTTTGATTTCCCTTCTTCTCCGTTTCTCATCGGTGTCCTCGTTTTTTGGTTTTGGACTGACGCTGCTCTCTCCCTCAACTTTCATCTCAGACACATCCCCTTCGGTTTCTTTGCTTCCCTCACGCTCCGGTCCAGCGGTGCGTTTGAGATCTAATGCATCATGTCTTCGTCTCCATGCGTCGAGCCAAGAATCAGTGCATGGTTTTCGGATCTCATCCGAGTAAATCTTAGAGTTAAGCTCTTCAGCTTTAGCTTTCAACGCTTCGTTGTCAATGCTTTTTCGGTCATCGCACCCCATGAACCAATCGTGAAGCGCATTGTCCAATTCGGGAAGGCTAAAATCCTCAGGATTAGATGGGGGTGGCGTTGGAGGAAGGGCATGAGGCGGGTGTGGGGGCAATGGCGGACAGCCTGCTTCGAATCGAACTTCGAGCGGTGCTGGTGTCGACTTGAACTTCTTCAAGTTCCGTGAGACGGTGGATTGATTGATCGCTTTGTGAAAAGTCGACTCGAACCATTCTGCGAGCTCCCTCTATGAATGAATTGAGAGTTAAATATAACGAACTCTCTAGACCAGAACTTCAATGACAAACCTGTTTTAGTTGAGGATTCTTTGACGCGTGAAGGTACAGCTCGTACTTTTCGCTTGTGGTTGCTTCCTCGTGCTTCCGTTTTTTGGGCGAAGTCGCACGCTCGGGGCAGGCTGCTACGTCCATATCCATGCTCATTGTACGTTGAGGCAGTAAACAATCAAAACAAACCAATTGAAAGAATATTCAAGGCTAGTTCGGGAGATTCTTTTTGGTGAAACTTGATCTACTGGGTTGAGAAAATCATGGGGCTATGCTAGGTTATATAGGCGAGGAGGATATACGTCTAGAAATGCATTTGTTGGTCAGACATAAATTATGCAGGCGGTCAGATAGGTATGGTTTCAGGTGCCAGTGTACATCGGCAGTTAATTGTATTAAATATGAAGTCGCTGCTCTACGTTCGTACAAGGTGCATGCATCATGCGGTTTTCCCCCAAGGGGGGAGAGACTCTGCTATGCATGCAACCCAGCGCCTGGGCTTGTTTTTGATTCCGATTCATGCCTTTTTTACGCACTCGGTTTTTCTCCCCTTACGCGCAAGTAGCGATCGCGAATAGATCATCATCAATTAATTAGTGAACCCTGTAAACGGTTGGTCCGTTTTAGTGATCACTGTCGAAACGTAGAGCAGTAGGTACACACACCCAACTATGTGTCCAGAGCATACCCTTCCTCGTAGACAAGTATCTAGCACGTACGCAGTTCTTTGAAGTTGAGGCCGAGTTTCATGATAGACTGACATGCCAAGCAATTGTATATTAAAACCAACCAACATACAGAGAACAAATAGAGTAGATGTACGCAAATAGGTACATGGGTGAGTAGGGGTTTCACCGTTATTGTTACTACAATACTCTACTATTTCGCCTGCTCACGATCGACATGAACCCCCCCGCTGCAGCACTTTCACCTATCTCGAAAATGCCATATCAAACCCTCAGTCGATCATGGCGAGAGGCTCAATGGAATTAGATTTAGTAACGGCCGGCTATCGTTGTACATAAGAAGGGATCGACTGTCAACAATGCCAAAGAAAGATGAGGGTAACCATACTAAATTTAGAAACTTGTTTCTACCTAGGCCTAGAGCTGGAGAAATAGTGAGCTTGACGAAATAAGTGACACATGCACAAGACTTCAGTGTGTCCATAAGAACCACAGATCATGTTATGTTCACAGGATCTATTGGGACCAAAGTTCCTTGTTTCGAGTTCCAATATGCCGTAGCAGTTTGCTACCTACTTTGGTTCATGCCTTGACGACCGGTGATTGTGAATCTTGTTGTAGTACATACAACATACATATACCAAAACTCAGGTTCAATGGTATGATCATCATGTACTGTAAGGATTGAGAAATATCTAGCGAGCCGCTATTTCCAGTCTATCTCACAATTGCTTCTCTGTACAATGATGTGTATTTGTATGTTAACCACTCCAGTAACAGGTAGCAATTTTTTTTGGCATTGCAGCAAAACAACCCTCGAGTTAAGTGCGATAGGATATGTGTGCCTGGGCTTACCTACTAGAGTAATAGGGCCCCATCACTTATTTTTCTTGGTTTCGTTTCTTAGTACCGCCGACTGACGATCAAGCGCCGAGCCCGTCAACGACCGTTTAAACAATAACAACAGGAACGCTTACCCCACGCCGCCGGCACATGTGTTTACTTAACCGCGTTGCTCTCCGTTATGCTTGCCGGTAGTGAAGTCCTAGATATAGACGCCTGGTGTGTAAATAAATCTGCTACATATATTGATTGATGATATGATGAGGTAGTGGTTGTGGTTGTGGTGATGCTGCTGGCATACATGTATGTATGTTTGCAGCCTTGTTTCGACACGCGCGGGCATTATTACGGCACCTCCCGGTAACCAGTCTATGCCGCATGCGGACCATTGTCAACAACTAGGTTCACAGGAGCACATGAAGTGCTGTTTGCTCTACATGAGTCTTCCCACTGTATAGGCGTTCTATCGTCATGAGACGGTAAAGAAGAAGACATGCAACTCCTAGACCAACAATGTAAATGCATATCGTGCTAACTCATGTATGTACCTACCTAGAGTACTTTAATTACATACCGTGATGTACCTACATGTGAAATAGGTAAATTTATATGTAGCTTTATAATTATTCAATTACTCATGCTCAGTTCTAAATTCATCGGGCATAAACCGGACCATATGGTCATCCGCATAAGCTTGCACAGATCGAATGAGTTCTAGCTTGTGTGTTTACAAAGACTTTGTTTATGCCTGGTGGTATGGAGTAGGTACACATACTCTAGTAGGGATAAAGGTAGAGTAACACGAGACGTGCATGCAGAGCTGCCGCAGCCAAAACCAGTAACTGTGGTTACGGAATTGATTATGGGTAGTCGCTTGATGACCGGCGTAGAACACGGTCATCCATAACCCCCCTGGTGGTCTGGCTACATGTAGCCTGGATTCGACTGCTGCTTCTTCTTACCTCTCTTTGTAGTATCCTATTTATCTACATATATGCATCTACATATACCTACATAATCCTGCCTACAGTTTAAAGCACCAACATCGCTTCGAATAACTCTATTTATTTACCGACTAAATATATACATTGTCAATAATCCAACAAGTTCCATGTATAACACTCGATGCGCTCGCCGTCGCTCCCGGCCCTCAATCATTGCCTGCTTTCTTGCCGCACTAAACAAAATATAGGGCATGAGGAGATTATCTCAAACTAAAAAATAAAGGAAATCTCGTACATACGACCAAAAGCTACCATTTACGTGGCACTTCCCAAACGGCTTTCTTTTCACGATGTCTCAGGTAAACTGGTGTATCTTCTGATTGACCCGAGTGATTATATATGATTAAAGACGATGTCTTTTGTTGCCTGAGGGAATAGATGGTGCGCAACTCGGGCGAACAAGAAGGTAGTACGATCACTCGCATGAAACCTTACATACTAAACTGGCGTATTCCCAAAGCATCGTCACTCAAGAGTCCCACCGTATGTGCTCGATCGGCCCTTGGACTACACAGAATGAAAAGGGTGGGGTTCAAGTAAGGGATTCTGTTTTTTCACAAGTGTTTAGCTGGCCGAGTATGATATTTTCTTGGGCTTAGCAAATCAGCATTTTGTGTCCTATCGATCCTCCATATCGCTAAAGGTAGTACTATGCGCTGTTTCTACTTCCGTTGTTGAACAGTTGTCGTAGAATACCAAAAGACCTTCAGCCTGAGTCCTGTGATACCTTCATGAGCCTTCTTTCTGTACATAAGGAACCACGCCTAGCTGTTTATTCCATTAAACGCAAGTAAACCTCGTTTTTTCCTACTGGCGTACTTGGCTAAGGCTGATACGCTGTCCACCGTGTAAATCGGAAACAAGAAGAGATACCAAGCATTCCTGAGGGGTATGGAATAGAGTCACTTGTAATGATAGAAGCGCCGCGACTAAATTTCCAAGGTAAGCGTATAATCTAATGAAGAAATAATAGTTGATGAATATTTTTTAAATGGCCAGTTTGCATGTCTGCCCGCCCCCGCCCCGCCCAGATATAATTGTCTGCCGCATCTTTTCAATGAAGAGATAGGCAGCAGGTTCCGGATTCGGGGGCCCATCGTGAGTACCAATCTTCTATCCAACGCTGGGTCACCATTCCGTGAAGGAGCTAAATTTATTTCCAACTGAACGAGGCGGGCGAGAAGGTGGGTTTTTTTTATTCTTTTCAGTCAGGACATCCCGCAGATTTGTATGACCACTAGTGGAGAGATCGGTGGGATTCTCGATCTAATATATCTCTCGGCCCCCCAAAAGAGTGGAGGTTGTAAAAACGCAAGCGTTTTGTGGGGATATCTAATTCGTTTCATTCATAAACCATACCCCGCAGTAATTACCTAAAATGAGGTGGGGGAAAGAAGAAAGAAAATATGGCTTATGAATGGACGAAAACACGGCCCAAGGAAGCTAGCTCTCACATAAGGTGTCTCGGGGAACCGGTTGAGTGGCTCGGAGAGCTGGGGTGGGGGAATATATTTGTGGTACCGACCCGGGTACTCCAAGGCGGGCGGGCGGGCTGCGTCTTTGTGAAGAAACCTCGGTAGGCTCCGAGCTAGGGATTTGGCGATTGGTGGCACGTGGGTGAGCATGATGAACGTATCATAGGTTGAATAGGTATCCTGTACTCGTGGGGTAGTAGTATGTATGTAGGTAAGTGTTCGAAGGTCTGGATAACTGATGGCGTGCATGAATTTTATAGATTTCTCCCTTGATATAATATGTAGCACCACCACCACCACACACTCTCACCGCTCAAGGCTGTTGAAGTAAAAAGCTCACATGACAATTCCGTGAATGATTGGGCTCTGGAAGCTTTACAGGGTCAGCACTCGGCAGATAGGGAATACTAGAAGGAGATCCATAACGCGAATGGTGAATAGTACATACCTTTGGGGGTTTGACAAGAAATTCGAGCACAGAAAGAAGCCTCGAAGAGCTACGGGAGATAGGGAAGATATACATAGGATCGAGGAATGGTGGGGGTATTAAGTTGTCTCGGGAAAAAGAAAGACAGGCCCTAAATAAAAACGACTCCAAGAAAATGACCACTGGCTCTTAGTCGCTCGAGTAACATACATGTATGTACCTACATATCTACTTCTGCGTCCTAAAATGGGTGCGATGTAGAGCAAGTACCGGTACTGCATATCACAACAGGTATTCGTTTAACACGCACACCTTCAGACACCGCATCTCCGATTTTGCATCGCGGAGTGTGGATTTGTGGCGTGAAACCTGCTCACTCGCATGGTTTATTGATCTTGCCGCCCGGGCATGCAGAATATTCCCTGGAGGTTCAATGCTAGACCCAGTAATCCCACCACCCCACTGACTTACTGGGCTACATATGCAGCATATGAGCTTCCTCCTGCCTCTCGATACCAGTAAATTTCGAGGTACCCAGGTAGGCGATAAACGAGGATAAAACCTGCATTCATTATTCTCCTTACCTACTTTACTAGGAACTTTCGTACAGGTTCACTGTCCATCCTCGCCCGTAGGGCACAATATCTCACGACTGTTGACAAGGAAACCATCCGTTTGTTGAATAATGGTCGTGTGGGAAAATGCTGTGAGTGTATGTAGTGAACTCTTGAACTCTAGCTCTGGTATGGTATATGTATTATGTACTTCTATGTACATAATATACTTTACGCGCACATACTTGTTTACCACGAAAAGAACCAGAAAATGCAGTTGCTCAGGGCAAGGATTATTTGTATGGAGTGGCGGTGATCTCTCATACAAACTATCCCTGTTTCCGTCACTTGCATTTTCTAGTTCTTTTCGTGGTAAACGAGTATATGTATGCGTATGGGGTAGCATGGAGGGGTGTAAAAAAAACTGACTCTTTTTAGCTCAACCAAAATCCATTCCCTATCCACAGCACCGGCAACACTCGCCTCATCTGACGGAAGGAGAACTCCCACAATCGAATATCGAGTATCTTACATGTGGATAGACCTACATCACGACGATAGAGAGAGAGAGAGAGAGCGTTACCAGCGACAGCCGCGAAGAGGTCACAGACAAGGGAAGACCTGAAATAATAACTTGCGCACCTCTGCTTCTGCCTCTTACTCTGTGAATCCATTTTTCTCACTCACAGAATCATTGCTTTTTCTCCTCGCTTCCTTCTATTTGTTTCATCAGCTTGCAGATAGAGTGATCTAGTTTGGACCCATCAACCCGCGGCATCTCAGGGAAACCACGAGGATTGTCGGTCAACTGGTTGGTTAAATCTGGGGGCAGTCAGAAGAGCCTCATCCAAGAATTTCCCAGTCCATCTTGTGGCACACGTCGCAACCCGCTGTCACGATTCAGTGGACTCATCATCTTAGTAGGTGGAATTTCGGCAGCATCGCACCCACCGCGAAAATATCTTGAGATCTTGGTTGCATTGAATGGGTTGGTTACAGTCCCTCGCTGACCACAAGTAGCTCTCAAGCTACTGCCTTCGTGACCGGGAATATTGAGCCCCACCACCTGGTCCAACCCCCTACCTTGCGATTCTGAGTGAAAGAATAAGGAACGACCTGTCAACCATCAAGATGCCGATGATGAGAGGTGTAAAGTTTGCCTGGTAAATATTTCCTCTCTTACCCTACCTTCCTCCGCTCCCGCACATCTTTCCTTTTAGTGATGACGGAGAAACTCAACCTCATGTCTACACCCAGATAGAAACGTTTGCTGATGGCCCCGAAAGCGAACCCTGCATACGGGGACATCGCTCATCAAAGTGTAATCACAGCGACCGAGTGCTGGTACAAGTTCGAAAACCAGGCCGACCGTTAAGCAGTTGCCCACACACCCTGTCATCAACCTCCCCAGGTACCTTTGTCCACACCCTGTCCAATGGAGAGGATTCTGGGGGGAACAGGGCTGGAAGCTCTGCCAGGGTGAGCTGTAGTTGCGATGTCACATCTGTCGCCATACCGAAGGGTATGTACTGCTTTCTTACCCAGCGCTGTATAAACGTTGACGGTGGCGTTTAGTTGCCTCTTGCGCTTGTGGAACACCGAAGCCGCAGGAGCCCCCGCCTAGACTGCCCCCGCCATCATTGGTAGCTATAACTGCTGCTACAAGCGATTCTGGGTCGACGATAACATCGCCCATGTCACCAACATTCCCCGCGATTGTATCGGCCAGTTCGTCCAATAATGGCCCTTCAAATAAAGTTGTCAAACCACAACGGCTGAAAAAAAGTGGTCAGGCAAGAAAAGGGAGTGTGAATATAGGGGAGGTCGCTCTTGAACAACTACTCGAGCAAGAGAGGGAACGCAGTAGCAGTGCTGAGTCTTTAAAGATGGGAAGTACAGCTAATAGCTGCCGGGGCATGCCTGGTACATCAAGAGAGGATGGTTCTGCTGAAGGAGATTCGTTGCGAGGGTTTGCAGGACTTCCGACAAGTCCTGGACATGGGGGAGATATCAATGGATTTCGTCCACCACACGATTTTTCAAAGTCACAAAACGGAAATATGTTCTTGGAGGGCATAAAACCGTCAGAAAGCAAGCCGGACATGCCAGCTGTAACTCACAAAACATTGTGCTCAGATGTATGGAATCCTGATGCAGGATCATCTCCTTGGCAGCTATCTCAACCTCCTGTCAAAAAGGCAGCCTGTGGAAGTTGCGGGGGGGATCCAACGCAGCAACCACAACCACAACCACAACCACAACAGCATATACATCGTGCGCCCGCCCCACAGAATACCCAACAAGGTCCTAGTTGTTGTAACGGTTCAAAAAAAGCGATCACAATACAACCCCAACAAATGACTATTCCTCAAGTACCCTTTTCAGGGCGTTCCTTTTTCCCTGCTCTCCAATATCCACCATCATATATTCCGCCTACAAACTTTTCACAGGTTCCAAACATGTGGATGTATCCTACAATTAACCCTGCGATCACGCCTCAAGAATTTGCATGGTTACAACAGCAAAGAGCGGCTGGCGTATTTGGACCACAACCACAGCTGCCTGGGCATGCATTGGTGCCCCCAATGAGTAATTCACCAGTCGCCAACACCGCTTTGGCCAACGGCTGGGAACACAGCTGTCATTGTGGGCCTGAGTGCAATTGCCTAGGCTGTGCAACACATCCATTTAATCGGAGGACGGTGGAGCATGTACGGGAGATGCAGTCGTTCATGGCCGTAGACAATGGATCTCTGAGTCCGCAGTCACACCCGAATCCTACAAACCATAACCATCCACAAGGCCTTGTTCAACAGCTTTCGAACCCACAACCCCAACCAAACAGTTTTGAAGCGAATGGGATGTCGCTTTCGTCGCCTGTAGCAGGTGCACCATCGTCAGGCGCATGCTGTGGAACTAGAGCAAGTCCTGCGAAGCAGATTTCACCTGCACCGGAGGAGGGGGACATAGGCCCCGATGGAAGCCCGAATGGCACCCCAAGTGGCACTGACGGTGTTGATGAGCTCTCGCCAAGCAATTTCCTATACTTTGATTATCCGCTCGGAATGTGCGCGCAGACTGAGGCTGGGTGCAAGTGCGGCGAGGGATGCACTTGTGTTGGCTGCATCACACACGGAGGGCATGATGGCGTGGAGTTGGAAGCCCCTGTACAGGCGCCAGAGTGGGAAGCATGGGGGATAGAAGAAGGCACCTGAAGATGAAGACATGGAAGCAGGGTTAAAAATATTCTGCTAATCACGATGTCGCATGGTGCATTTTTCTACAGAGTACGAAGGTCTCCGCTGCTTTATATCCGTCTCTTTTTTTTCTTCTTTCTTTTTTCTTTTTTCTTTTCTTTTTGGAGGGGATTTTTTCTCTCTCATGCGTTTTAGCATATCTTTTTGCGCTGGATTCGGGGACCTAGGAGTCAGATTGCGGGTAATTTTTCTCTCTCTTTCTTTTTTAAAAGTACCTTGTACAGAAATATCGGAGGTATCTGCGCCTATCCTATTCTATTTTGGGGCTTTGGGATTAAGTAGACGAGGCACTCCTTCCTGGTAGATTATTGTAAGAAGGGATTTTATGTGTTGTGATGTGTACTTATGATTGTTGCTATACCCCCTGTATATAAGACCATGTAGTGGCTGCTAGAAGAATCTGACGCCGTGGAGAACGCGGAGAAACGATTGTGTGTGTGTGTGCGTGTAGGAGAGAATCACCGAGTATCACTCGATAGTATTTTCTTAGATCTGCAGCCCTGTTATGTATGTAGCCAAGTTCCAACCCTGCATGCGGCACTAGCACTGGCGAGAGCGGAGTGGAGGAGGGGATGGATCATGGATGTGTGGTGGAGGTGGAGGGGTGCTGGGTGGTGGTGGTGTGTATGATATCACCTATGTAGGCACACACATGCGCTTACCCCACTGTGCTTTGCAGCCTCACAAATTATCTAACCACCAGCAAACAACAACGACACAAAGCCCATCGTGAGGACAACTCTCTAGACACCCCAAGTAGAGAGAGAGAGAGAGAGAACACTCCCCTCATACACCCCCCCCGCCCCCCTCCCACCACTCATCATCATATGCTCTCGCGCCTCTCCATAGTCGCAAACCACCTCAAGCATACTCACAAAGGGATGTCTAACTCCGCAGATCCCTTCAAGCGGCCAATCCACACGGCCGCCTGTCTAATAATTGGCGACGAAGTTCTCAACGGAAAGGTATGCACTCCATCTACGGACCCCTTCCTTCCCTGGCCGGAGGCGGGGCGGGGGCATCCTAGATACATTTAATAACAATTGCCCCCCCCCTCCCCCCGGCACACAAAACAACAGACAGTCGACACCAACTCCCCCTACTTCGCCCGCTTCTGCTTCGACCTCGGCATCGAGCTCAAGCGCATCGAGGTCATCTCCGATGACCAAGACCAGATCGTCGAGGCGGCCCGCCGCATGAGCGCCAACTACGACTTTGTCGTCACCTCCGGCGGCATCGGCCCCACGTAACCCCCCCCCCCCCAAACCCCCCTTTCCCGCGCACACTAATAGTAACCGGACAACAGCCACGACGACATAACCTACTCGTCCCTCGCCGCGGCCTTCGGGCTCCCCCTGCGCCTGCACGACGAGACCTTCCGCCGCATGCGCCTCCTCTCCAAGCACAAGGTGCCCTTCGACTGGGACACGCCCTCGCCGACACGGACAGCGCGCCTGCGCATGGCGGAGCTGCCGGCCGGCGACAATGTGCGCATCGTGTATGTGAGCGACGACACATGGGTGCCTGTCGCTATTATCAACTACAACATACATGTGCTGCCGGGGGTGCCGAGCATCTTTGCGAGCCAGCTGGATGGCATGAAGAAGCTGTTTGAGGAGGAGAAGAGGACCGAGGGGAAGAAGCTCGTCAGGGTGCTGATTAGCACGGCGCTGCCCGAGAGTGAGGTTGCGGAGTACTTGACGGAGCTGCAGGAGAAGGTGGGGGCGAAGGGGGTCAAGGTGGGGAGTTATCCGAGGTAGGTTTTTTTGTCTGAGTATGTGTGTTTGGGTTTGGGAGTGCTGACGGTGAGGGTGGTGGTAGATGGGGGAAGGATCATAATACGGTTACCCTTGTGGGGAAAGACGAGGCCTATATCGAGAGCCTGGTCAAGGAGGTGGAAGAGGGCGTTAAAGGCACCAGAATCACCGTCGAGGGCGAAGACGAGCCAGAGGAGCCCAAAGAGGAGATCAAAGATGGGAACATAGAGCAGGCAAAGGCCGCAGACGTTAAGGACGCCGAGGCAAAGTAGATTATCACAGTGTACGCGGGATGAATAGGTACATACTAACTATATACATTTCGAAACCCGCAGCGCCTCCAAGGAGGGTTTTATGATATGCTGCGGGGGTATATCGATTGCATTGATTGCTGTATAAATAAATGGCTTATAGACGGCAGTACATGTAGTTACCACCGGTTCAGTTAAGTTGACGTCACACGCGATAATAAAGTTCATGGCCTATCACTCGGGGCTGGTTATCTTATCAATCGTGATTATTGCTGTGCTGATCAATAGCAATCAGATCAATAGCAATCGGTAGCAATCTAGCGCTCAGTCGGACTACATGTACATTTACTACAACTTCATGTAAATACGACCCTCTGTGTTCCCGTCTGCCGCTAACTGCATACATGTGTACTTTTCTGCGGTGAATTCTTAACCTCAAATCCCTTCATTATAAACAATTACTTCTCACAACATAAACATTTAAAACTACCAGTAAAGACTATATATATATATATATACTGCACCCATCACATCATCCATCTAGATATTACATCTACAACGCGAACATAGCAGCCAGCACCATTGCTGCACCAAGAAGCATACTCCTCTCCACACCAACACTTGCAGCCGCACCCTCAAACACCACCGACGGCGACGACGCCGCACCGCGTGTAGTGGTCGCGTTTCCGGAAGCAGAGCCAGAGCCAGAGCCGGAGCCTGAGCCTGAACCTGAACCTGAGCCAGTACCGGTGGTGCCATTTCCAGCCGCCGCACCACACTTAATGAGGTTCGTTGGCTTGGGCTTGCTCGGCTCCCACAGAAGGATGTCCTCAAGCCTCTTTGCGAAGGTGACATTGCTCATGGTGAGGTCGACCCAGTTCTGCTTTCCGGCCGGCACGGCGCTGTCGTTCCATGTGCTTGTTCCGTTGGGCAGGATTGTGACGGCACCGCCGGTCTTGTTGTAGTGGTAGACGTCGTCGAGGCCGCGGATGGCATAGTAGATTGCCGCAGCTGCAATTCGAATGTTAGCATACTTATCTACATCTCATAGAGAGATAAAAAGCAGGGAGAGGGTGTAGACTCACGATCCCAAGATCCGTCATCCTTCCCAGCGCCGATTGTTGCATTCCACACAAACGCAATTGGATTCGTGTCCGGGCTCAGCTCCGTCGCCAACTTGGCGCCCATCCTGATGTTCCTGCCGACATAGCCGGGCACAAACGTGAGTGCCTTTTGCCAGTTGTTCAGCACGTGCGCGGCAAAGGTGACATTGTGGTGCGACAGATTGTACGATCTCGGCGCCGACGCGTCGGCCTGGACGACGAGCTCGACAACCTTCTTCTTGATGAGCTCCCAGCCGGTGAGTCCGGAGATCGAGTCAGCGGGCGAGTCGACGAGGCGGTAGAGGACGTCAAAGAAGCCGATGACGGCAATGGTGACGCTGTTATCGTCGGCGGAGGCGAGGAGCTTGCGGTAGAGAAGGACCGGGTCCGTGGTGTTGGAGCCGTCTTTGATGTCTTCGGGCCATTTTTGGCCCAGTGTTTGGACCCAGCCGCCGTAGCGGGTGTAATCAGGGTCGTAGGTCTAGGGGCAGTTGTTAGTTTTTTCACAGCAAGGGGGAATATATGTGGCGGGGTTCTTACGGTGTTGTCGAGTGGCTTTTGGATGGCTACTTCGATGTCCGGGTGCCCGTAGAAGGTGTCGACGGCGTCAATGGCCGGAGGAGCATACCGGGAACGGATGCTCGACACAACACCGAGGATATCAGCCTCGCCCCATGTCTCAAAGGCGTTTGCAATGGCGAGTGCGTTGACATCATCGGGCTACAGAACGGCAATGTTAGTACAGTTGCTGGTAATAAGATGTAACGCAGGGAGGAAGGTTGTTACCAAGTTCCAGAAATCAGTGTCAATGATAATCTTCTTCTTCGTGCAAGTGTTGCTGGAAGTAGCAGCCAGTGCTCCAACAGCGCTGGCAAGAACGAGAGTAGGAAGAGCGACCTTCATGACTGAGATTTACTGGTAATATATGTGGGTTAAGATATCACGATCAACGACTGATCCTGAGAAATATAGCGGCCAACATCTCTGGTATTTGTAGTCTTCTCCGTATCTCCTCAGCCACGTAGAGACTGCTGTTGTGTTTTACTTGCACCCTTGCCCTTTCCGCAGGTGGTAATGACATCCGGGCATATCTCAGGTGCGGGTTGGTGGGTTCTAGAGTGGACGGCTGGGAGTGCCGATAAGTCTCAAGTACCTTACAGACTACCACTGAGACATGTTGATATGTAGCTTGAGTAAATATGGATAGATCACCACAAGGGGTAATAGAACATTAACCTACATACCCAGATCTACCCTCCGCGATCATTAGTAGAGTATCGAATCTCGGCTTCATTCTTACAGGCACGATTTCAGCTGAACCTTTCACGCCGAGCCTGCTGACAGTGCAGCTTACGGGCGTATTTACTTAGACATTGTCAATGTGTTGCGGCTGACCTGTTAAGCTTCTGTAAGAGTGGTAAGAACGATCGTGCGAGTAGAGTTTAATGGATAATAGTGCCGTCTAGAGCTAGTTAGCCACACTAGTTGGCCGATTGGGCATAGCCCTACACCGTTTAGCGAAGAGGAGAACGCACAGGGCCGAGCTGAAGTTTTACTGTTACAGTCGCTCGCCTACTGACGGCGGATCCTATCTGATGATTCTGTTTGCAGTAATTTGCCCCTCTTTTATTGGCCTCAAATCCCTGACCGCCATTAGACAGGATCTGCCTTCACCCCGTGAGTTACTGTACTCTTACTCCAACTAATACTCAATCACCACCACGCCGGCTATATCAAAATCAGCTACTCTATGCTGGATTACAGGGTTGAAGTCTAGTAAGCGAAGATCGGTTGTTGTTGTTGTCAGGGACTAGGTTTTCAGGGTCCAAGGCCCAGGGCTCCTTCCTTGGCAAGACATCAGGTATACTCTAGGAACCAGACTATTCCGTCCCGTTTGGAACGTGTCTGGAGATTTCTTTTGGCTTTGCTTGTGTTCAGAAGTCTCTCATCGCCTCAGCCAGCCATATACCCCTTCAATTTACTCTCTTCTCAGCCATCCGCGTTGCAATTGCTCGAGCGAGCCCGCTCTCACTAAGCTCTCCAGCAATTCTGGTCGCCGACAAAACGGAATGCGGCGTAGATCTATCTCGAACCCTGTATGTATGCAGCATGAATAACGCAATGCCCGCCAAGCGCTTGTACCACAATTCGTTGTAATTCGTTGTAGTTAGTTTAGTACATATGTAGCCTGCGAATCGCGAGGAAGAAACATTCAGCCTGGTGACTGCTTTCAGGCTTACGTGATAATATTGCGAGTGATGATCGAGGATACTCACAGCTATGGGAACAATCTCCTGACGAGTAATGCATGGGGTAAGGTCTATGTTTTTCCGAGTGGTTGCACAGGGGAGAATCAATAAATATATTTATCGAAGGACTGAAGCGAATAATGACCTGGGCGAGGAGGAATAAGCGTGTCTTGTAGTGACAAAGAGAGAACATATGGTCTATGGAAAAGTACAACAAGCTACATCTCCTAATATATAAACTTTCCTAATATATAAAGGGTCAGGACAAAAAGAAATTTCGCAAATGGCGGGTGATGATTGGCCCTGCACCCAGGCTTCCTACATGGAACGATAAGGGTGTACTGAATAGCAATGATTGTTCTATTTACTCCGCCCGGGAAAGTACTTTCAAGGCAAAAAGGTTCCAGGCCAGAGTAGCAGGAAAAAGAGAAACGTAAGGCTTTATTCCATTCATCAACCTGGCCTGAATTGATAGTATAAATTGAGATGGTGCATCATGATTCCGGTTGGTAACAAACGGAAAACCTCTACTGTAGTATAATAAAACACCTATATAAGAACCACATATATATGTATGTATAAGGCAACTGACCACTTCGATTGAAATCCAAAGTATTAAGCAAGCAATTCGTGACCAAGACAGCAATTGAGTTGTATTGATAGTTAATCCGGTATCTTATCCGACTGAAGTCTTTACTCCCCAGGCGTATAAATTAAGGCAGGGATTAAGTTTGATACGTCTCTAAGCCAGGAAGCGGCCTTGGGAAGCACAGGGCAGTAATTAATGAACAATCACAAAGAGGCTAAGCATTGCATCGGACAAGCCTTGGGGTACCCATTAATTGCAGCTACTTGATCTCTTTCGACTCCAAATCTATATAGTCATGAAGTCGCCCAGCCTCGTGGACCACACCGTTAATGCCCACACTCATCACCATTCTCGATACCTTTGCAGAATACTTTTACCCCGATGCTTCTATTAAAGCGTTTTTACATTCTAAACGCTAGGATTTATTGCTATGTTTATAATGGTATATAATAGGCAGCGGGTAGAATCTCTTTATCTCCGCCGATATATGGGACACTGATAACGGGGAATATATCGGTTAGGAACGTGTATATTAATACTTTCTACAGACACCACATGTAAACACCCCTCTTGTCCTTGTCAACTCCCTTCTCAACTCCGCCAAGAGTTCGTGAAGTGCGGGGTCGCTCCTCTCCAAAGACTTCTCTTCGGCTTCATTTGCCAATATTGGTCCCTCTCCTCCACTGGGGGCTCTTTTATATATGGTTCCTCCTCCTCCTCCTCCTCTAAGTCGTCGTGTTCCCCTTCGGACCTAGGTCGGTAAACCTTTCACCCCCCCATCGTCTGCCCTTCGAGGGGATGTGTAGTTGGTGGTATACCATAGTCACTATAGCTGGGGTTTTGGGGATATTGTGATCTTTTTTCTTTGGTTATGCTCTTTTCCTTGTGTCATCTTTATTTTTCTCCTTTTTTCTTGGGCGGGAATTCCTTAGTCATCAACCTTGTAAGAGGAGTGCGGTTGGTAGCATACCATAGTTACTATAACTGGGGAACTGGCATTGGGGATAGGTCTTTACGCCATAGTTTATACTTCATGCGATGATTGTACCTAGAAACAATTCAAATGACTTCACACACACA